ATTCTAATGTATTTATAATTTTTTTTAAATGGCCTTATATTACATTTTCATATGCTTAAATATCCAATCTTTATTTGAAAGCTCCTAAAAATACTTCTTAAAGAATATATTACATACCTTAATTTTTCTAATTATTTCTATTTATTTAGATAAAATATTATTAAATTATTAATATAAATTAAATAACAAAAAATTAAAAATTATATTTTTATTCCAAATTAATTATGATTATTCTTATTACTTTGTTATAAGTTAAATTTTATGCTTGGAATTTTAAAAGATTAGTCAATAACAAGAATACTTAATAATCACTTAACTTAAATATACTAAATATCAATATTTACAAGTAATCAATAATTCTATTGACCTTGATGAAATTCAATTTCAACTCTTAAAACTCTTAATGAAATCTCGTTGATATTCAATCAATTCTACACAAGTAAACATGAATGCTAAGTCCAATCAATCTTAATTATTATTTTCACCTCAAAACTTAAAGGATTTTTATGTATATCTATAAATTTGATTGAATTTGAGATAAAATTCTAAATTCTAATTTTAAATTTATTTATTTATTTTAATTTTAAAAATCTTACAAATTATATACTTTAATCAATAGAATTATGCAAATTCTAAAATCATCTTCAATAAAATTTTAACTCTAAATCCTAATCCAAAAGAATTAACCTTATATTAAATCCTAACTTTAGGTCTCAAATCAAATTTCAACAAAATCTTAAATCCTAAAATCAAGACCCTAAATTTTAAAATCTATAATTTAGTATGAACTTAACTAGTATTAAGTTCAAACTCTAAGGTCTAAACCTCAAGAAGTTTTGAGACAAGGTACAACTTAGCTCAACAATTGTTCAAATCATCTGCTGATGAAGCATGATTGTTGGACTTTAGATCTTAATATATGTAATTGAAATGCAGATTACATGGATTCCACCTTGTGTAGGATTAACCCAAGCATTGCAAAAGTAGCGATCTATTGTTGGTGATCCTAATACAATAAATGAAATCTTAGAATAGATGTTTTAGGTCCAAGATGGCATTTAGAGAATTGATATCTTGCTGTGTATATCTGCTACTTCTTGCGTGCTACCCCTATTTCTTTTGAAAAACCAAAAAAAAGAATGTTCCTTTGCAAAAAAGAGACGATTCTCTGCAACAAACTACTGCACAAGGTTGATAATCCAACATGGATGCTAACATTTTGAATATTTTTGAATAATATCTCACTTTCAATACTTTTTATTTATATATAGCTCAATCTAGTTGATTGAAGTAGAATTCATCCATTTACGGTCTATTCAACTATTATATGGTTTTGAATTTTGATTTCTAAATAAAAAATATAAATTCTATTTATTTTATAATAATATTTCTTTAAACCATTGAATGTTGTTGGATTGATTATTTTGTATTCTAAGAACTAATAACGTTACTTATTACAAAAAACTAAATTGCCACTTGATTTACTTTAATTTATTTTTTATAACTTTTTGATTATTTATAACTTATTATTAAAATATATTTTATTTAAAATAATATTTAAATATTAATAATTCTGACTTATGTTATATATAAAAAAATTAAACAATGTCTTATTTAAAGTGTGGAAATTTTAAAATATTGCATTACACCTTGTAAGTTAGATAGTAAATATAATTACTTGTATGCATTATTTTTTAAAACTTAAGATATTTTTAAGTATTTTATTATTTGATTTTAAAATTATAATAAGATTTTATGTTATAAATTTTTATATTATAATGGTGTCTATCTTCATTTTTTATTTTTTTATTTATTTATTTATTTTACATACTTTATAAAAGTTTTTAATTTTGAGGTAAACATGCTATGTTATGTATAAAAAATATTATATAAAAATTAATTAAAGAAGAAAATAATACAGATTTATTAATTTATTTTCAAAATCTAATTTTTACAAAGATAAAATAAAATATATTAATTATTAAAAAAATCTTTACAATTAATGTTGCTTTGAGTTTTATTCTAAATATTTGAATTTATAAGTAATAGACCAATACAATTACAAAAAAAACATAGAAATTAGACATCATAATTTTTTTATAAAAAACTTATATTAAATTTTAAAAAAAGTATAAAAAAATTATTTCTTGCAATAAAAAGATATTTGATTTTTTCAAATAATTTTGGATATAAATCAGTAGAAATTAAAAGACTTAAAGGTAAAAAAATAATTTAGTAAAAAACTTAAAAACTCAATTTATTTTAATACCAACATAAATCAATCTTTATTTAATCTATTGTTTTTGTTTCTTCTAAACTTAGATATTAAATATCAATAATTTATTTAGAATTAAATATAATTTATTAAAAGAATTAAATAAAATATATAAATAAGAATAATATATAAAATTATTAAATTTTTTAGATAATAATAAAAAATATTTTTTTACAAATAAATTATTAATTTTTCAAAAAAAATAGTAAAACATTTAAAGATTTAATTTGCTTAAATTGTTTTTGACTAAAATGCATAAAAAAAACTTAGTATGAATTATTTTTAGTTTATAACATTGAAATAAAATACTTTATAATTATAATGATTGTGAGAGTAAAATTCTCCTTTCAATCCAAATTACAAGATGGCCTTAATTAAGAGTTACTTGTAATTAATGGTATAAATTGAAATAAGCAATTAGAGAAAAATTAAAAATACAAAATACAAAATAAGTAAAAATAATGTATTCAAGTAATTATATAGTCCAAAACTTAGTCATTGTTTGTTCATTAGATTTTTATGTAATAAAAAATAAAATTAAAAATTAAAAATTATATTTTTAGATATATAATTTTAATATTTTTTAATAATATAAAAAAATATGTAAATCCAATTTATTATGAATAAGTTATGAAGATTTAAAAATAAATGATAAATAACAAAATAATTAAGTAAAATATTTTATTCTAAGAAAAACTTGTTTAGAGATTAGGGATTCAAACCTCACCAAGGCTTTTATATAGTGTACAAGGGTGTCTTAAAGAGGCCTCAAGGCCTTAGTCTTATCCTTCTACATACATCCAAGGTGCTACAACCTATATGAGACTTGTGCACCTTCTTTCTAATAAGGTCTACACAAGTTGCTAGTCATCCTATTTTCTACTAGTACAACTACCTATTTTGCATTTTTGACTTCACTATGGCTTTTAAAAACATCTAATTAGTTAGGAACTACATGTGGCTTTCAAATCTTGCTTCATTTCTTTAAAATAGCTTCCAAAGTGGTAAAACTCAATTTTACCAAAGTCTTGAAATTTTCTCTAAACATTTTTTAAAAATTACAATTAAATTTAAAAATCATAATTAAAACATCAAAAAAATATTTTATATAGTTATTTTTTTAGTTTTTGATTTTATTGTTTATATATTTTTATATATTGAATAGAGAATTATATAAAAAAAAAATCATAATTAAAATTTATTTTCTTAAATTATATAGAAAAATAGTTGTAAATTAAAAAATGAATAGAAATACAAATTTTTATATTTACATGATCAATATCATAGAAAAATAATATAAAATAGTATTAAATAATTAAAGATAGAAAGGTCAAAATATAAAAATAATTATATAATAAAAATAAAAGTAATATTGGTTATATTATGACTTAATTTATATAAGAAAATATAAAACTTTATTGCAAAATGCTAAACTTTAAAGCATAGTCAAAAATTAATTTATAGTTGTAGTAAAGCTTTTAATCTAAAGACTTTAATGATATGATTTCAATTATAAAGTATTATATTTGAAAAACATATTTTCATATATAAATATAAAATTATTAGTAAATGTATGGAAGAGAATATTAAACCAACCTACCTAAATCTTAAATCAATCTAATTTATATCTATGATTTAATCTATGTAATTTTTTCTTCAATTTGACAATAGAAAAACCTATAAATGTATTCATACAATCCTACTTTAATCTCTTAGCAAATCTAAAGGTGTAGTGACCATGTTTTATGATAAATGGGAGAGAGAGAGAAGAACGAAGAAGATGATATTGGACTAAAATATACTCTTCAATGTATGCTAGAAATGAGTACCTATCCAAGAATATAATAGCAAAAATTGTGGTGGCAATAGGAACACTAAATATATATATATATATATATATATATATATAAATTTATGAATTTATATATTAAAAATATAAATTTATGAATTTATAATAATAATTTAAATATCAAATAAATTTGGTATGCAAAGAAAAATTACACAAATGCTTAACAATAAGATGTATATAGCACAAATTCATATTTTAAATATATTTTTAAATATAGTTTTCTAATATACTTATCAATAATATTTTTAAAGTATTTTTCATAAATTTACAACTAGGCAAAATTTTTAAAAATTTTTTAAAAAATGCTTAAATATCAATGACATCAATTTGATCTCAATTATACATCATTAATTTTATAATTTAATTCAATTGTTCATAGAATAGAATTTGAAGAGTCACAATTGACAAACAAACTCAATATAAGTCAAATATTTGTAGTTCTTTCCACTTGGCAAAATTCCGCCTCATTAATCCAAAAATTATAATTATAGGTTAAATTTGTTTTCTACATATGGTATCTTTCTAATCAAAAAAAAAAAAAAAAAAAAAAAAAACCAAGATTTCAAAATTATAAAGCATAAGAACAAATAAATTCACCCTTGCACAATCAAACAAAAGTATTCCAATGTTTTCAAAATTAGTGAATTACTTTGACAAAAAGTGATCCCATACACGTATCTAAACAATATATATATATATATATATATATATATATATATATTTATATACATATATATAATTTTCACACACTTACATATATACATCATGACATGCGAAGCAAGTAGTGACTGACCTAACCTTAAAACAAGCACCATAGGTGGCAAACCGTAACAAAGTTCAGTTTGCTTCGATGCAAAGCGCCCCAAGAGGACAAAATTTCTGTTAATTTTTTTGGCTTTATTCAAATACAAAACCAAGAAGAAATGTTCACATAATCCTTCATCTTGTTTACATTTCCTCACATCTATATGAACAACTGTATGTACATCGGTATGAACAACAACCTGGACTGCGGAGCTGTGCGGTGAACACGGTTGATCGTGAAGCGTGGCGATGCAGAAGGGACCCAGTTTGTTAGAATTCCTGCTCGTTGTGAGCTTGTGTGTTACGCAGACAGGAGATGAAAGCAGCAGCAGCATTGCGATCCATGGTGCACAGAAGCAAACGATTATGGAACAGACAAAAGCTGCGAAGACATGAAACAGAGATCGTTCAGGTTACAGTTTGCCTTCTAGAAACACTAGCAACCCTGATTCGGGCACAAATTCGTGGACTTACTCGTCAGCTGGACATTATTCTGGTTAGGATTCTGACTGCAGCAGATGCTCTATTGTCTAACACATGGTGACAAAACCAGCTTCTCAAACCGGGCACATCGATGAAACTCAGCTGTTGGTGCAAACTAATTCCACAAACCCAATGGAATGTGAGGCAAGCAACAATAAGGTTACCAGAAAGGGCTTTGATCACCGAGTGGCAGCCCGAGTAGCTTCTTCGCGAGAAGAAGGGAAAATCTCAACATACCGGCTCCCCATCGTCATCTTATCCTTGTTCATGGCAGACTTCGCCTTCGAAGCGCTGCCGAAGTCCACAAACGCCTCACCGGTTGTTCTACCGTCACTATGCAGCATGATGTGCACATGCTCGTCATGAAGCTCAAACTCCCGGAAGAAGTCCATAACGTCACTCTTTGTGGCAGAGAATGGCAAACCCCGGAGCTTCACCACTCCCGTGAAATTCAAGTGATCCTTGGTATTGTTTCGAGACGGAGCTTTCGCACTCGCTGAGGAGCTGTTGTTATTGAGTACATGGAGGGGGAGGGTGGAATCAATGCATCGAGTATCCGCCACTTCAGCCGCTACTGCATGATAATAGTCCTGCTTCTTGCACCGGAAAACTTCAATGTAGCGCCGGCCTATGTTGTGCCGATTCTTTTGCAGGGCATAGTCCACCTGCACAGGCGCACCGAAAACGACATAGGCCTCTCCGGAGAAACGGCCGTTCATACGAACGAGCAGGACGTCCACGACGTCTAGTCCAGCGAAGAAATCAAACACGTCGCTGTCGCTGCAGTTGAAGGGAAGCCCTCGCAAGCGTACCACAGGCAACGACCGTGGATGTCCTTGCAGGAGCACAGGCGAGCTCCCTCCATCAATCAGTCGCTGGCGCTTGGATCCCACCTCGTATTGATCTGCGTGACCCCCCAGATAATTCCTTCACATCCATCCCAAACCCCCCGCGCCCCCCAAAATCACATCCCCACCCCATGATCCCCATCAATACCATCCTCTATTGTATGTATTGGGCCCCTGATCCTGTCCTCCAGCAAGTATTCATCAATAGTTATATCTGCTCCTCCTTTCCCATCCTTCCCTTTTGCAACCACACGATCGCACTCTAACTTGACATATCCTTTGCAATTAACTTGACATGCGGCAGGAGGTGGCGAAAAATTCCGCAGTTAAAAGCGTTCTATTCCCGAGTTGTTACTAAAGGAGGCAAAAATAACCGACTTCGCAACGGAACCACACTGTTTTGTTCTATTTCCAAGCAGCATCGATCCTGCCATTCATGATTTGCAAGCCTACTCCAATCAACCGGAAATTGAGTGGGAGATTTCTTAAGGAAGTATGCATGTCATCGACAAGATGCAACGGCAACGAACGGCAAAGGGAGGAAAAACAGGAAAAAATGAAAGAAAAAGCAGGGGGTTCGGTGAGAAGATTTTCGAATTTAATGGGTCAATAAAAGGGAGCCCACTATACTCACCATCTGAAGCTCGATCTAGCCCACCTGTCTCCCTTCGAGACCATCTGGTTTGGAATTAACAATCAATACACGGTTCCTTGCTCTTTTCATGCAATCCTCTCGGGAAACCACCGTAACACACCTTAGTCCCAATGTTGGCCTAACCCCTCACTTTTCATGAAGTGTTTTGGTGTCGACCTTCGTCAGCTTATTCTGACACTTTTGTATCGATGATGATGCTTCGTATCTATCTCTCTTCGTCTCTTTTGTCTAAATGAACGAGTTATCTTGATGCCTGAGACTTGAGGATTGAGTGGTTACAGAAAATTTTGAACTGAAAGGTGGTAAATAGTGAGGTAGCTACTGCTGCACCCCAACCGTCAGCTCTCGCCTAACAAACTATCCGCTCCACAACTACCTCCTTCCTTAGGCCATCTCATTCACATCCATTCACTGGATGTAAACAAAGCCATGCCACGAAGGCCCAGTGTAAGAAGAGGGAATTGCAGCCTTAAAATACGATAAAAGCAACGGTATCACGCCATCAGCACTGATTGACCAACTTTGTTGCCTCCATTGAAGTCTCGCAAGACAACTGCCAGGTTGAGCACAGTATGCTTAGAACTGTTCAAAAGAGCTGTATCAAAATAGAGATTATGTTTCCAAATCAGAAGGAAAAAAGGGGAAAAGAAAAAGAACCATGCAACAAGGAAAAAACTAACATGCTAATCGACTTCCTGTAAACCCTAATTCTGTGTATGTCCTTTTACCTGTAGTTCCACGTAAACACGATGATTCTCAGAACAAGTTGCATCAACCTGCAAAAACTCAAGCCTCAGTCTCCATGCTTCAGCTCTGATCTTGTAGCTCATGTGCCCATTGCACCCGGCATTAAGACCCCAATTCACCGTTTTGGGCACAGCCGCCACTCGCTCCTCCACGCCACTCCTTCAGCTGGTTTTTCTCGGAATTTCGACCGCTCTGTGAGCTCGTCGCGTGGAAACAAACCGCACTGCAACTGCATCACCGTCTCGCAGCTTTCTCCCTCGACTCTAGACCCAATACTCAACCATATGGGCTGTTCCATGGCTTGCCTGAAAGCTCCTCTCAGCAGCAAAACACCATCTCCGAGCAACCACGCGCTTCTGATCTGGCAACCAAGTGCTTCTGCGACTTCTGGTCTCTCGTCACACACGCAAGGCTCCTGCAAAACGTCGACAAGGTGACGTGCACGTTCAATGAACAATGTTGGATGTAATTTTTAGTTTTTAAGTTTTGCAAAAGATTTGTGACAATAGTAATATAAAGAGAAGTAGTATAGTATAAAAGAGGGTTGAGGTTGTTGTTTAAAGATACTTGATTATGTTTTGTTTTGTTGGATAATGATTATAATGAGATATGATTTATAGTTTTGGATAGTATGCATGTGAGGTTTGCAATTATAAAAAGTTCATTGTTTATTTTTATGGTTTATTACATTGATAAATCTTATTTTATTAAAACTATTGTCTAACTATTTCTTATCCAATTGATGATGTCTATTGACATTCATGTTGCTTGAACAACATTGTTGGTAATGTTCACATTTTCCTCTGTTTTTTTCTTCTCTTGATTCAATTGTGTTTAAACCCAACAACATTGATAACATTATAAGCTTCAAGCTTATATTATATCTATTGGACCAACACTTTTTTGCAAGTGGCTTGGATTTTGGAGGGCATTGACAAGGAGTTATAGTAGTATATGTAAAATTGGCAAATAAATCCATTTTGTTTCTTCTAGATTCTCCATATAATGACTTATTATTATTGCTTGGAGATCAACTTCTTATATAGGTCATCTATCGTTTCTTTGGCTAATCAACCTGCAAATTCTAAAAGTTAAATGCAAATAAGAGCCACAACATGTACAAGGCTATTTTTCTATACTTTGCTAAGCAAAATCTCTTTGAATGCAACTAATTTCTATGTATTCTTATTAAAAGCATGTTCCTACTAGTGAGCAATATCAATTGAGATATAACATGGATCAATTTCTATGTTTGCATCTTTATAAAGGTTCAGATTATTACACACAAAATCAGATTCAAAAGGGTTTTATTTGAAAATTTATTCATAGTGCAATTTTGGTTGAAATAAAACTTTCTTTGTTGCATTATTGTTTGGTGAAGTTTCATTTTTACAAGTGCTTCTTTTAGATTCTTATACAAACTTCTGACTTTTATCCTCATCAACAACATACTTGCTTTGCAAGAAAACATGTATGAAATAAATTGTTAATTTAATTCTTTGCTATCCTTAAAAAAACATGAAGAACAATAAATATGACACAATGAGATTAATATAATAAGAAGCACTTTAAAGAAAAAAATGTGTAATAAATTAAAAGTATTAAAATCAAATTAAAAAAATTATTATATGAAAATTAAAGAATGGATATAATTTCTAAGTTGTATTCAAAAATGAGTAATAATAAGGAGCTAGCTATATTCAAAATATATTTTAAAGATCTAAAAGTATCCAAAAACATTACTAGGAGATTATCTTAAAAGTAGATCTACAACAATTGAAAACTATTGAAACAATCATTGAACTATGTCCGCTTACTATAAGTCAAAAAAACCTTCTTAATCATCCAATATCATTAATTGATATCAAAGAAAGCTTGATCTATTTACAAGACTAAATAATTTGTAAGTTCATTAGTCATAAATTCTTACTTTGTTCAGCTATGTTCCATTCCTTGATCTATTAGAACTATTTAAAGTTCACAACTATAGAATCCATACTCTTCTATTTATGCACTCGGCAATGATTTGTCTACCAACATCTAAATACATTGCTTGCAACTTGTGATATAAGATTATAGAAAGATAAGAGATAATTAAAAAAAAAATGTTATTGATGTGCAATGGGATATTTGTTTTATCAAAACAATGAAGAATAAGAAAACAAACATCTACATGATTGAAAAGCCTAATAGTTGGTGCATGTAAATAGACCATGTAGAGAACTTAGGTAACTACATGACTGTGAAGCTTACCAAAGACTTTGGCAAATACTTGCTCCTATGATAAACAAAGAATGTTAACTATATTGTATACTCTATACAATAGATAGAATCATTGTTGACAATTTTTGTTAATAATTTTTTAAGTGTCGTAAAAAAAATATTTAGTCTTTTTTCAAAATAGACAAGTTGTATTCAAAATGCAAAGCCAAGAAGTGGCCATTTGAAAAGTCCAATATTTATTGTCTAAAAAATAAAGTAAAATTGGTCTAGTTATTACCTCCACCATTGTCTTTTCAAAGATTACTCAATAGTAGGTATTATTTTAACTTCTTCTTTTAAAAGAAGTAATAGGTATATGCACCAATATTATTGACATGTAATGAATATAACTCAAGTCCATGTAAAGCCAAATCTTTTTATTAACTTTACTTACAACTTAAGTTAGTCAAAACTTGTAAAAGAATTATTGGTAGGGAAAAAAGCATCAAACCATCTTAATTTGGTCACTAAGATATTCAAACAATAATTAATAATATTAAAAATCTTTTTGATAGAAGATGAAATTATTACAAAAAATATTGCATAAATCTATATTGTTGAGTTCTAAAAATGTGTTCTACCACATATTGATCTCTTAGTTTTTCTTCATCATGATGACAAATTATTAGATTTGTTTGGCTACAAAACCATTGTTTTAACTAAAATTCCAAATTCTAAGACTTAATCCTAAATTTATGCTATTGTCACAAATTATATGGAATTATGCTATTATATGAAAGATGGCTTTATATTATTGTCACAATTTGAATAAAAAATACAATATGAGATTGTAGCAAGTTAATCAACTAGAAAGAGAAGAAAATAGATCCTTTGCAAAAGATTTGGTTTGTGTTGGTAAAGAAAAAAAAATTATTTATCAAGATATAGAAGAAAATGCGATTTGGATTTTAGAAAGAATTTTTATTTGAAAAATTGTTGGTCATTTAATTTAAAAAGTCTATTACAATATTGATGATTATGCCAATAATAAAAAAATACATTATAAATTATACAATTTCATTTCCTACAAACTCATCACTTAATACACTTAATTTGTAAATCTTAAATTTTTTTTAAATGAAGAACTAAAACTTCTTTTTGTAAACTCTATTCTTCATGATAATAATGGAAATCATGCAAAAATATTTTTTAATACTCTTTTTATAAATGAATTGTCATTTCATTCACTAAAATTGAAATTTGGAGTACCAATAATTGTATTACAAAACATAGCAAGAGGAATATGTAATAGAACTCATCTCATTATGGAAGCTTTTATTTCTGGTGTCATCACTATTAAAGTTATAAGTAGTGTTGAAGCATGCAAAAAAGTCTTTATTCTCCAAATAATCTTAGAACCAATCAATGTGAAACTTTCTTTCAAATTAAGACAAAGATAGTATCCAATTAAACTTATTTTTCTATAACAATCAACAAGTGCTAATGTCAAAGATTCATTGTCTTGAGCCTCTATTTTGCCAAAACTTGTATTCTTTCATGGACAATTATAGGTTGCATTGTTGCATGTTGAATCCAAATGTAATATCTTACTACTTTCCAATAACATTGAATTCTTTAATTATACTGAAAATGTTACTAAAAGAAACAACTTAAAACATTGAAAATTCCTAAAACAATAAGATAATGAAATCTTTACATTTGGTATATCACTATATTCATATTTTATATTTATATACAAAATAAGATAATAAAATTTTCTTCAAAAAATTATTCTTTTGGACATATTGTATATATGTTGAAATTATATTTTGTAATCTAAATAAAATCTTATATATATATATATATATATATATATATATATTAGTGTGTATTTATTTTTTTTATATTTATATATTTGAATATTTTATGCATCTATATAGAAATTCGGTTTACCAAAGTAATAAAAAATATGGATAATGATTGATTGAAAAAATTACAAGTTATTTTATTATATTATAGCTACTTAATTATTTTATATTTATTTATTTTTATTTTTTCCATATTTCTTGATTTATTTTTTTGTTATATTATTTAATTTTAGATAGGAACTTTTTTCTATAGTTATTTAGTGTTTGAGAATCAAAATATTAAAATGTATTTTAATACAATAGGTTTTATAATTGTATTTAATTTTCTTTGCTTTCAATTATTTTTTTAAATGATAAATTTTAAATTTAGAAAAACCAATATTAAATTTTGAAACTATATATATATATATATATATATATATATATATATCAAAATTTAATGGTTTTAAATCTTATAGTTGGATCTTTAATTTTGTAAATTAAAATTATTTTAGAAATAATAGTATTTTCATATACCTAAATATAAATTATATATATATAAATTAAAATAATATATGTTAGTATTACATATAAAGAATCTTATGAAACTTTAATAGATATTACAAAAAATTAAAATTATCTATCTTAAAATCTAAACATAAAAAATTTAGCTATTGCTTTAGTGATATATTTTTATTTTAAAATAATAATAATAATTTTGTTTTATAGTATTTATTATGCTTTAAAATTATAATTATTTTTGCTTTGTTATAAAATTATGATATATTTATATTTTTAAATTTAATTTTTTTAGATTTGAAATTTTTATTTTTATATTATTTCATAAATTATATTATTTATTTTTATATTGCAATTTAGAAGCTTGAATATACAATTTTTTATCAAAATTATAGATTGTAAGGTTTTTAGATAGCTCAAGTGCCACAATTATTTTTTAAATTTATCCTATAGTCTTAATAATAAGTTCTATAAAAATAAATAAATAAATAATTTTTAATATATTTTGATAATTTTTTATGTTTATCTTTATATACAAGTATATATTTATATCCATACATATATACTTAAACAATCTTGATTTTTAAGTTATTTATTATTAGAATATTTTTTTAATAAATGGAATGAATTTTAATAAATCATTCTAATATTTTTTAATATAATGTGTTATTATTTATATTACTTTATTATCAAAGCAAATCATAGTTATACACATTTAACTTTATTTATATATGCATATAAATATATATATATATATATATATAGAGAGAGAGAGAGAGAGAGAGAGAGAGAGAAAAAAATATTTTCTTAATAAAATTGACATGCATTGAGCTTATTGTGATAATATTATGGAATAATAATTCATAAATAGAAAATAATAATTCATAAATAGAAAATAGAATATATATATATATATATATATATATATATATATATACATATTAATGATTGTAATTTAACACTACCACTACAAGAATTCAATTTCAAATTTATTATTGCTATTGTTCAGTTTTGAAAAGTTTGATTTCTTAATTATTTCAATAAATTAGATTTATTCAAGCATTAAAAGATGTTATAATTTTTTGTTATATATGTATGTATATATATATTAAATCACAAATAACGTCCAGATTCATTATGCAATTAATTTTTACATGTATTATTATACAAAATATTACAAATATGCATAAAATATTATTACAACATTTAAATTAATAATCATCACCACCTATATATATATATATATATATATGATCTTCTTCTATAAACATAAGCTACCCTTAAAATCATAACAAGTCCTACAAACTTAGCCATCAGCCTAAAATGCTTTTAAATCTATGTCTTTAATCAACTTAACTTTCAAAATATTTTAGGAATCATCAAACCAATGATTTTATTATTCTTTACATATTTATTCTATATCTTTTGATACTCTTATAGCAAGGTCAATCTTAATCACAACTAAAATCCAAACTCCCAACCATAATAGGGACTTTTTGGTGCAATCCACCATCTTTTTAGTAAGATAATTCTACATCTTTCAAATATATTTATCTATTTATTTATTTTTCCATAATATCATGTTGACTAACTACTACTAATTACTATCTAAATACAAATTAGGTTTAGATTGGGGGGGTTCAAATACAAACCCGAACGTCAACAGAGCAATTCCGACAGCCACGGCAATAGGGACCACCGCGCGCCTTCAAAGGGTGGACAGCGTTCATTCATCCATCCTTCCCTTCCCTTATTCATTCGTTCATGACTTTGTCGGTCTGGAAGTGCACGTTCACACCTCGGCAAGGGGGAACGGCATCACAAATCGGGGCTTTCCTTCGCGAAGGCTTTTATTTTATTTTATTTTTTCCATTGCTGTGCCGCACTTGTCCGTCGGGGGATTCATTCAATCTAATCCCTGCTGCTCCAATCCTTGTCAGTCTGCGCCTCTCGCATTGCCGACTCCCCTGCAATCTGCGCATTCTATCGCGCTTTTAATTCCTGCATCGTTGCGTTGCATTTTGTGGGTCGCCAACCGCCGCCAGCACTTGCAAGGGAATAACTCGCCATGCATGCTGCGGCCACCTTCGGACGCCTGCTCTATGTGCCGCAGCTCCAGCAGGCTTATCGTAGTTCGGGAGAATGTTGCACCAGCACCAGCACCAGCGGTGGTGGTGGTGGTGGCAGAGTAGGGTTGTGTAGCGCAGGGGATGAGCTTCGAAGGACCCAGAAGTGGGGAGATGGGATCCTGAGGGCGAAGCGTGGGAGAATAATCGCTGCGAGGCGGGGAAGCGGGGAGCAGCGGTTCCCTGTTGGGGAGTATGGGGAGCGGATTGTGGTGTCGGCGCATGAGGATGAGGACGACGACGAGGAAGAGATTAAATTGGAGTGTGACGAGAATGGGTGCGTCATTGTGAAGGCCACTTCGAAGAATTTGGAGGAGTTGGATGACCGTGGGGGTTTCTTGTGTTGCGACTTATCAGGTTTCAGAGATTTCTTGGTTTCTGGGATTTTCGTTGAACTTTTTGTGCAATTCTGAACCTGAAGTAGAACAATGCGAACGGGTACTGAAAATGTGGATTGGGTAATGGCTACGGCTGCCACGAGTTCTGGATTTTATTTATTTATTTATTTATTTTTCTGGTTTTTCTGGTGCACAGAAAAGAATATTGTAGAAAATTTAGAACATTGCGGTGATAAATTAAAGTATTGATATGTGATTTTGTTTTTGGGGAGGGGACAGGCTGCTACTTTTCAGATGAGCCACCGGTTGAGAAGACGTTTGAAGTGATTGAAGGGGAAGGGTGGCGCCTGGGATACGAAACTGCACCAGAATCAGAAGATAGCTTCTGCGCTATAGTAAGATTCGGGGCAATGAACCATTGCATAGTTGCTGAGCTGATAATTTCTTCTGCGTTTCTTCAATGGGACATGGATTTTTGTACTCTTCTTGTCCCATGGATACTCCGAAGGTAGCATGTTGATAGCTAATTGCTGCACTTGGTTGTAGTCAGTGACGTTTTCAACAGGGTTTCATAAACAAGCGTAGCATGAATAATCGTGCTTCGTATTTTGGGTTGAAAATGTGAATATGGCAGGTTGGAGCTGGTGGATGGAGCCTTGCTCTAACAGCATCAGAGTTTAATGATTTCTGCTATCTTATACAGGTACTACTGTTGCATTAGATTGAACACCTTCGAATTGATCTTTGTTTGAAATTGGACTCGAACATCTACTACTAGCCGTGTGCGTATCAAATTACTTACTGATGGACGATGAGCACTTGCAGACCTTGAGAAAGGGCATCGCAACTATGGACGAGGATGGGTTTATAGGAAAGGAAGAAGTTGTTATGCAGGTAATTCATCAAGGTCCTGTGCTAGAGCACTAAACATTTTGATTATTATTCACTTGAAGTACGGACTGATTTTGTAGATTATATTTTCAATTGTCTATGCTGAGTCCCAAAAACATTATTAAGCAGAGATAGTTCCGCAGGTTTTCATGTGAAAGAACACAAGTCAAGATTGCTAACCTTAGACTGCTGTGAAATTATTTCAGATGGAGAGAGGCAGCGTTTGGATGGCGTGCAGTATACCTAAGAAGAGAGTTACAATATTTCGAAATCTCTGGAAGGTATAATGCTTCTCCACTTCTTCGTTTGAACTCGTGTATCCAGGCGCTTTGCTATGGACACTGCTTGATGGCATGAATGTCTTGAATCATAAATGGAATTTTTGAAGTTGACGAATGACACACACTCCTCATATATCGAAGTTGCGTCTCACATGTTAATATCACATGCTGTATGCGTATATCTATTGGTTAACTCCAGTTGGGGGAACAAATTCATTAGATGAGAAGAAAATCTTCAGATCAGCTTATTGTTTGTTATGTCATGTGGTGAGCAGCTTGGAAAAAAAGCTTTTGTTGAAAGCCAACAGAATACTGCCTTCGAGCTACGGTTCATTCTTTCTGGTGTATCAGGCAGACGACAGGTCAGAGCCACTCAGCCTTCCCTTTCCTTGTCCTCTCCGCAACTTGTGTAAGTGTGGAATGACCAGTGGAGCTGTATCTCACATTTTTGGAAGATCTTTGGATTTTAGTTTTCAGGAAGCTGCTTCTTGGATGGTTTAGATCCATAAATATAGTAGTTTGATTGGGACGCATGAAGTTGGCATTTACAGAAATGAGCAAGTGGTTGCTTGTGCTATCTCACGGTATTTGTTTAATTTAGTGTAGATACTGCGTTGCAGAAAGAGTTTTCAGTAGCCTTTGTAACATGTTTGGTGGCAACAATTATTCACTCTTTGTGCATGTTGGTTTTGTAACTGTTACACAGGCTGAAGGATTCTGGCCGCCTGAGGCTGTAATGGATATGCTTAAGAAGATAGATGTGAAGAACCTGGAACTGGAAGAGCAGGATGCAGTAGCACAAAAACCTGCAGCAGACAGACTTGCATAACCTTATAGCAAATTTTGTTTCTCCCAAATATAATTGATCTGTATTTATGCGGGGATAGGACATTTTACGTAAACTGTAAACATTCTGCGAATTCCTGACTCACAGCAATGCCCAGAGTCACATTTGGTTTATTACTGATGCTACACTAGATTCTATAGAGATGTACACTAAATCTTGGAAGCAGCTTTGTCCGCCATAAGCATTTCTCCAAGTTTGTGCATTATAACATATATTTTTTGCAGCTTAAATGATTTGTCGGTGCATCGAACCTCTTGATTTCAATTGCTGATACATCTGGTTGTATTAATTGGTTTTAGAGATAAAAAAAAAATTTAATAAAAGACAAATCTCACAAGACAATTGTTTTTGCAAAAAGCTGCTAATTGATAATTGATTCATTAAATGGTATCAAATGCACGTCTTGTATAAATAAAAGCTTTTCAATTACATAATTTATGTATAAAAATATATAATATTTATGTAGATTCATATAAAACCTATTACAAAATCAATTTATGGTATTATAAAAATTCAGCACATGTTTGTATATATATATATATATATATATATCTAGTGTGTGTGTGTGTTTTTCAAAATGTTTATATTTTTTAGTTCTCATAGTGACCTATTAAATTTTAGATTAGAATAAAGTAATGTTTAACACACACTTTCAAAAAAAATTATGCTTCTAATTAAAATAGTCATAATTTATAATACATCTATACACACCTTAAATAGAAAGGCGTAGGTTACACACACCCCAAATTGCCATCCGAAAATAGATGCCTGCACAATGATATCTTTCAGGCAACAGGTGAGAAAGAGGAAAACCCACCCAAACCCACAAGCGCGGTGTGAACTGACAAGTTTTCCGGGACGGAACAGCACGCATCCAGCTTCCACCCAACGTTCGATCTTCCGTTACTTCAGACGTCTGTCCACCCCTCCGTCCATCCTCCCGCCTGTCCGCCCGTCCGTCAATCCGTTCATGGACGAGGTGGTTCGTTCGTCGGGGGAACGAACAGGAATCGGAGACGGGGAGATGGTGGGGAAGAGGGAAGCGAGCGAGCGAGCGAGGGAATGGAGTGTGTGTGACGAGTTCGGCATCGAAGGAGAAGGGAAGACGAGGAAGAGGAAGTAGACGAGGAGGAAGAAGAAGAAGAAGAAGAGGGTGCAGGGATCCAGAGTACCCATCCCATGCTTTCGCTTAATCGTTACCGAGGGAGGGTTGGGGACCCAGTAGTATTATGGATGGCGATGGCGAAGCGATTACGAAGGAGCCGCCTTCCTCCGTCGCCGCTGCTGCTGCTGCTTCTGCATCGCACGCTATGACTGTCCCATCCACACCCAACGTCTTCGCATCGCTCATTGGTGGCAGGGCTCACGAGGTCATCACACGCAACCCCCTTCTTCTGTTTTAGTTTTTTTTTTCTTTTTTTTTTTCTGCTTCCTGCTTCGTGGTGTGTGTTATTCGCCTGGATCCCGATCTTAGATCTGTTGTCTTGAATCCCGAGGACATCGTGCTTATTATTGTCCCGTGTTGTGTGTTCTGAAACGGATTCCGATCGTTCGAGGTAGCTTTTGTGTGGAGCTGAGATGGGGTAGGGTATTTTTTTTTTGTTTTTTCTAAGAAGAAATTGGAGAGGAATGGGTAATTTTGCTTTTTTCGGTTGGAGATGTTCCTCCTTTAGTTCTGTTTTTTTTCCACATAGCTGTAGTTTAGGGTTTTGAGTGTCGCGGGTTTTTCATGAATGGACTTGTTTACTGGGATTAACAGTCCTGGCTTCGATGACAGAAAACCAGCGGGTCGAATCGGGTGTGGATGGTACGCTGTTCGAGTGGAAATCGTTCTTAGTTGGTGTTAGCTATGACATTGACCAAAGACAGCGTATTTGCTGTGAAATTCGTAGGGATGTGCTGTCAAGCCCAGCTCATTCGCTTTTTTGGAACTGAATTTGCTAGCAAGTGTCAAATGATTTCTTTCCTGGTTGAAGGAATTTCGTTTGAGGTCTTCTATAGTTTTCCGGATGGGAACTAATCGGGTTCATTTTTATTACCAGAAGTAATAGGCTCGCAATACTGCAAGGAAGTACAGGTGCTGACGTTCTTGTACTTTTAGGTGTTAATGTAGTCTGTAGCAGCCTTGGGCCTCTTCCCCAGTGTGTGCTGGAGCGAGACAATGATCCGAATGTAGTCATTCCCTCAAAATCATAGCCGAATATACCTGAAAGCATATTCTTGGACCAAGTTATTCGAAAATCTGGCTAAATATCTTTCTGAAAAACCCAACAACATCGACGATCACCTGTGCATCTTCTCCTGAGTGGCTCTTGATCGTATATACGTTATTTGTCTTAATATTAACCTTGCAGTAGGCAAGATAGCCGATGTATAGAGAGTGGGTGTTTATCTTTCTTTCAGATTCGAGGCTTTTTGCGGTTTTGACTTGTCCCTTCAGCTCGCTTTAGAAATGTCCAGAAATGTTGCAAGAAGAGAGCGTTTCTTCGATCCAGAATGTTTTTCTTATGATTATGCGATAATTTGTCTTCATCAATCCGGCTTATTTGCTTCACCCAAGGTCCATGCTAACACTTCTAGACGTCCATCGCGCGTGCGAAGGATGAGGACTTCGACGGAGCTTACGAGGAGCTAGGACCGGGTTCACAGTATACTCAGATGCAAGGGTTGCCAACGACTGCAGGTTCTCCTCCCCGAATGCTTCTGGAGGAAGACCCTATATTTAAAGAACCTCCTGTAGCAACTGTCGTCAGTGTCACCAGATCAGAAGGAACGTCTTTCCAGCTGATATACACGATAGATTTTGAGTATCGTCAATTTAAGTGGCGTCTTGTTAAGAAAGCTACTCAGGTTTTCTCCCTTCATAGTGCTATTAAAATTCGGGCACTGGTTGAGGATCTTCATGAGAAACAAGAGCAGGCCAGAGAGTGGTTTCAAAATCTAGGAATAGGTGACCATGCAGGAATCAACTTACATGTACAGGAGGATGATGAACAGGATGAAAACCCCACCGCAAACAGAAAAGATATCCCTTCCAGTGCTGCGTTGCCAGTCATGCGGCCGGCTTTGGGACGCTTGCCAACGATTACTTACAGGGCTCAGACTGCCATGCAGGATTATATAAAGCATTTTTTGGACGATTTAGATATAGTCAACACTCGGGAAGTCTGTCGATTTCTAGAGGTATCGAAGCTCTCATTTGCACCGGAGTATGGTCCGAAGCTTCATGAGGGATATGTCATGGTGCAACATCTGCCAATCATTTCGAAGGATGAATCTACTGGCTGTTTGGGGTGTTTCAGATCATGCTGCTGTTGCAATCCTACCTGGCAAAAGGTTTGGGCCGTTTTGAAACCAGGATTCCTCGCCATTCTTGGAGATCCTTTCGATGCCAAGCCCTTGGATATAATTGTATTTGATGTGCTGCCGCCTCTGGATCGAGGGGCTACAGAGGGATTGATAGCACTGGCAAGGTTAAACAAAGAGCGGAACCCCTTACGATTCAGCTTTACGGTAACATGTGGTACGAGAACAGTTAGAATCCGAACTCAACGGGCGGGACGTGCGAAGGACTGGGTCGCAAGTATTAACGATGCGGGTTTGAGACCTCCAGAGGGATGGTGCCATCCTCATCGATTTGGATCTTTTGCACCGCCTCGTGGTTTCTCTGATGGTAGTGAGGCCCAGTGGTTTATAGATGGAAAAGCTGCGTTTGAAGCAATTGCCGGAGCAATTGAGAACGCTAGGTCAGAAATATTTATCGCAGGTTGGTGGCTCTGCCCCGATCTCTACCTCAGGCGACCGTATGGCAGCAATGAGGCCTCCCGACTGGACCATCTTCTTGAAGCCAAGGCGAAAATGGGAGTTCAAATCTTCATTTTGTTGTACAAAGAAGTTGCATTGGCTTTGAAGATAAACAGCAACTACTCAAAGCAAAGGCTGCTTGGGCTGCACGAGAACATTAAGGTTCTCCGCTTTCCTGACCACTTTTCGTCGGGGGTATATCTATGGTCGCACCATGAGAAGTTAGTAATAGTTGACCACCATATCTGTTTTCTTGGGGGGCTTGATTTGTGTTTCGGTCGTTATGATACTCCTGACCACCGAGTTTCCGATCATCCTAGCACTATTTGGCCTGGAAAAGACTATTACAATCCAAGGGAATCAGAACCTAATTCGTGGGAGGACACCATGAAGGATGAATTGGACCGGCGAAAGATCCCACGTATGCCTTGGCACGATGTTCACTGCGCTCTTTGGGGACCACCTTGTCGCGATGTCGCTCGACATTTTGTTCAGAGATGGAACTACGCAAAGCGCAGTAAAGCTCCGAACGAGCATGCTATTCCACTTCTTCTGCCCCAGCATCACATGGTCATTCCTCACTATCTGACAGGTGAGCGCGAATTTTCTAGTGATCTGTTTTATTTGATAATCTTTCAATTCCTAGTTGGAGTTTTAAGATGTGCCTCTTGCTCTTATTCCTTTAGAAGCTTTGGGGGCAAAATTTATACTGGTCCTTCGTTCTCTGCAAAATATTGAAGCTCAACGTTACGGTGCTGCATCTACACTGAATTGTCCATTTAGAGAAACTTTCGAGTTGGCGAAAAGTGTCGCGAAAAGTGGGCGAAAAGTGTCGAATTACTAAGAACCAAATTTAGCTCAATGTGGTACTAATATGACTTTGGTTGCAGGTCGTGAGTCACTCGAAAATAAGTTGCAGGAACAACAACCTGCACAAGAGGAGATGACTTCAGCACGGTCTTCCTACTCTGATATCCCCTTGCTCCTCCCAAAAGAGACCGAACAAGATGAAGTCATTCAGGATATAGATAATGCTGGCAATGAAAGCACTGAGATTGCCCGTCATCCTAGTATCTCCAGCAGTGAAATCGTTCACGTTGCGCGTCATGCTAGCTCTGAACTCGTTCGGGGGATACAACGAGCCTTGATTGGTCTTTCACCTTTGCGAAGCCCAGTACATTCAAATTCCGTCCCTAATGATGAAGAGAGAGCTTTGTTGTCGGATGTTCCTATGCAAGCTTTTGTAGGAGATCCTGTGGTAGATGACGAATCAAGGAGCAAGAGTACGGGATCTGTTCGCCCAAAAAGACACGCTCGCACTCGGAAGGTTTCAAGATCTGAGTGGTGGGACGTAGATGAACACGAGTTGGGTGGGTTTGATGCTGTGGGGGAAGTAGGACCACAGACATCTTGCCGTTGTCAAGTGATACGCAGTGTGGGTCAATGGTCAGCTGGGACAAGCCAAGCAGAAGAACGTAGCATCCACGAAGCCTATTGCTCACTTATCGATAAAGCTGAGTACTTTGTGTACATTGAGAACCAATTTTTTATTTCTGGCTTGGAGGGAGATGATACAATTCACAACAGAGTTCTTCAAGCTTTGTATAGTCGAATAATGAGGGCTTACAAGGAGGGTAGGTGCTTCCGAGTCATAGTGCTTCTCCCTTTGCTGCCTGGGTTTCAAGGTGGGGTAGATGACGGAGGTGCTGCTTCAGTACGAGCCATAATGCATTGGCAGTACCGAACAATCTGCAGGGGTAAAAACTCACTACTTGAACGGCTTTCTTGTGAGCTTGGTGAACAAGCGCACGATTACATCAGCTTTTATGGGCTTCGCTCTCACGGAAAGCTTCACGAATCCGGACCATTAGCTACAAGTCAGATATATGTGCACAGCAAGATCATGATAGTTGACGATTGGGCAGTGCTTATTGGATCCGCTAACATCAATGACAGAAGTCTGCTGGGTTCTCGAGACTCCGAATTAGCAGTTGTATTGGAGGACAACCAATTCATCAGATCACGCATGAATGGAAAGGTGTGGAATGCAGGGCGGTTTGCACATTCCTTGCGGGTTTCTCTGTGGGCAGAGCACTTAGGTTTGCGTACGACCGAAGTTGATGCAATTCGGGACCCTGTTTGCGACACGACTTATAAGGATCTCTGGATGTCAAGAGCTAAAACAAATTCAAGAATATACAAGGATGTCTTTGGATCCATCCCTGACGACGCAATTCCATCTCGTATTATTCTTCGTCAAGCGATTTCTTTGCGCAAAGACAAGTTTAGCCACAACACCATTGATCTTGGCATTGCTCCTGCAAGCAACAAGCCAAACGAGGCAACTACAGATGATCGTGCTTTTGACCCAGATCATTGTACAGATGGAATTATTGGTCACTTAGTATTCTTCGCTTTAGGGTTTATGGCGGAAGAAGATCTGAGGCCAGTGTTCAAAGAAAGTGAATACTATGCCTCAGCTCAGATATTCCATTGACTGTTATTAGAAACTGGTGAAAAGTCTCTAGTAGGTCTCATTTGTGTAAGAGAAGGCTATTTCTGCTACAGAGTTAAGCCACATCGGTAAACTACGGCGGAACCGCCTCACCCCACCCTTCAGACCATTTGTAAAATTACATGATTGAAATATAGAAAGAAAAAGTGGCACCGTGGAAATTCGTGAAAGCGTCTGAGCGTGCTATGATTGTTCTCTTCCAAGATGAAGCTAGACTAAATGAATCCTGATCATTACATTTCCTTCACTGTAGGTCTAATTATATTTGCCCTTGTCGTTTGCAGATGAATGTCAACAATGGAATCTGGAAAAATCAGGCATACTTGTATATTTGATGTTCGAATCCTATACCAACTGTTTGGCACTTGTGACCGAACTCGAGATTATACGGGTTAGCGAAGATAACACAACAGGTGCTTGCTTGGATGCTTTTTATGAAAGGTTATTTATTTGTCAATCTGAAATTTGGGACGTGGACCTTTTCCTGCTACAATCCATGCTTGCTGATTACGCCTTCACTGTCATCTTGGTGTTGCAGATGACGAGGAGGCTTTGCCATTTTACTGTGACCAGTTTTGTGTAGAAGGGCTTTTCATGAGTGTTTCAGTAGCAACTACAACAATTGCTTGTAATGAAATCTGCCGAGATTTTGGTTTTTTTCAATCTGCCCAATTTTCTTTTTTTAGTAGATTCTATGTTCACTGTTGCTTGAGATTGCTCTGATACCTTCGAGATTTTGTTCGAATAAGCAACCTTTCCTTGAACTAAGTTCTAGTTGTCATACATGCTGCGCTAGAAATGCTTAATACCCACAACCTCAAACGTTCAAAAAATGGATGATGACTTGATCACTCATCTTGTGGTGTGTTGGTGTGGATGCTATTTAAGTATTATTTGAAGACTGTTTCAAATCTGAAGTTGTGTTTGGAACATTTCTATATCATGAAATTGAGAGCATCTTATCATTTTTATGTTTATTTTAAAACAGTGTGGAACAAAAGCTTGAACAAAAGTCTCCCAAGTATGTTTTATAAAACCCTTGATGTTATTGGTAAATTAAATTCATCAAAAGAAAATTCATCAAATATTAATTTTTTATGTTAATATTTTATTAATTGAAATTATAAACTTTTGTATGTTGTTTATAATTTATGCACAAAATTTATAAAAAAAAGAAAAAAAGAAAAAAGAAAAGAAGAGCCTTTAAAAGAAAATAAAACTTTTTTAAATGATTCTCAACTTTTGCTTCAACATGTGCCTTTAATACATATTGTCATTAGTTTGGATTAATGATGGATTATTATAAAGAAATTTTAATTATTCAATGTAATATATTTTTTTTTTAAATGACTTAATTTAGAGCTTGTAATTGCCCAAAGTAATATTTATTACTATTCTTTTTTATTTTTTTATTTTTGATATCTCTAGCTAAGAGACAATGATAGTCATATAGTGATATTCATAATTGAGTATGAAATTAGTTATTTTTATTTCGACTAAAATCTATGACAAATATATCATAATAAAAATTAAATTTGAAAGTGAATGAACTTCTAAAATAAGTCAATAATATGGCAACCAAAGTACAAGTTCAGCAATGCAAATAAAAGAGAAAAAACATGACAAAATGGCTTTATTAAGGTATGTGTCTCAAACTAAAAGCTAACAAATAGTAGTTAATGCTCTAGTATTGCTAAAGAGGCATGAGAGTACTAGAAAGATTGCAAGAGATTTGCAAGTATCTAAGAGCTTTATTGCACAACATTGCAAGAAACATTTGAGTAAACTGAATGGTATAAATTATAATGTTGGTAGTAGACTAAGAGTGTTTAGTATTGTAGATTGGAGAGCATATGTGCAAGCAATTATTTACTGGCTTTGAGACAATATACAAAATAGGCATTTACATGATAGAGGAGACCTACATTAGTGTGTTTGATTCTACTACAAAAAAGATATTGCAATAAGTAAGCTTGAAACCCAAAGTTAAGAAGAAGAAGCCAAAAATCACACCTAGTAAGATAAAGTAAAGATTAGAATTTGTAAAATGCCATGAACATTAGACAAACGATGATTAGACACATGTATTCTTTGATAAAAAATTAGTGATTTAATTTTGCTTTGATGGTTGTTGGTGTTAGATTTCTAATGGAGAATCTTTGAGTATTAGAAGAATACATAAGATTGTTGAATTTAGAAATGGAGGAGTGATGATATAGATTTGTATGACAATAGATGGCCATGGCATGATGTGCAAAATTGAAGAAACAATAGATTGATACCTTTATAGGGAGGTTTTACAATTAGTGTTAATTCATACATTGCATGCATACAATTTGAGTTTTTAAAGCATGATTATTCAATATAATAATAATTTGAAGCATATTTCCAAACTTGTGACTTTGAAATTGAACTTACAAGAATTTTTCCTTTTCAAGTGGTTGGCACAATCTTATGACATCAATCCAATTAAAGTTTTGAAGGCAATTCTCAAAAATTATTAGAATCAATAGAAGTCTTTTCTCTAAAAGAAATATCAGAATTATAAAATTATATTGAAGATGTTGGGCTTCAATTGCCTTTGATGAATGCAAGAGATTATATGAAAACATGCAAAAGTGGATTAAAATTATAGTTAAGACTAAGGTTGATAGGCAGATTGTTCAATCCATTTCAAAAATTGTGATCATAATTGAATTTTAGACCTAAATTTATGTTCATTTTTTTCTTTAATGTAAATGTATGTAATTGACTTTAGTCATTGTGCAAATATACTCTTTTTCATTTTGTAATAGCTATCTTCTCCAATTTATGGTATCATTTTCATTACATGCATTTTTCCTACTTAGTTATTACTAACTCTAAGTAATATTGTCTAGAGCTATCATGTTTATATCCTTGGGATTGGGGTATGTGTTAGTTAGAAAATATATGGCAGGGATAAAGATCACTTTTCACATGAATTGCAAATTAAGTCCAATTAATGCAAGGATTGGAATTTGAATTTGAATCCTTTTGTTGGTCACCGCAATGCAAAATGAGCATAGTTTCAGGATTGACTTGCTTAGTAGAATAGTCATAGGATTTGTACAATTGCAAATTGGTAGACACAAATTGCACTGTGTAAATCAAAGCCCAAGAGTTAATCAAGGCAATAGAATTTAATAGGGACACATGCCACAAACAAGGAATTCATCTCTTATGATTATGTCACGAAGGTTTACTTTGACATACAGGAAGTTAAACATCTGTTCCTTTAACATGTGTACTCGCATCTAACCTACAGGGAAGCTAGCTAGCCCCAACATACATTTGAAGATGGATATGCTTGCAATAGAAACCGGAACCACTGACATATTAAAACGCTTCGATACTATCTCAGACAAACACACATCCGACAAGATGGCTACTAACTCTTCCAAGCACTGCATTGTGTTCAATATTGTGTTGTACATAGTTCAAAGATCATCACGTTCGGCACTGACCTCTCAACGAACCTAAAAAAAAAACTGAGAGATCTGCAGTATCAGTAAAAACAGACGACAGTATAATTCCTGCCATCCCACACCCTTAGAGAACAACCTAAAATGAGCCCATCAAACTTGTTAGAAATCAACCCCTACCACTACCTTATCATATCTTCTCCTCCATCATACAAAGCGTTTTCACACAAATTGAGGAAATGATAAATAGTCAGGCAACTCAAAACCAAAATTTTCACTACGCAAAACGGTGCCAAGGTCCTGCAAATGCACACAGGAATCACACGTCGATAGAATCCCAACTTCGTCTTACAGGTGCGGTCCATCCCCATATTACAACTTCTGCTCCGCCACGTGGAAGGAGCCACCAACTTCAACCACGCCACTTTTTTGATCATTTTACACATACCAACACAAACATGAGATCCCCCAGATTACTGTATCGCCACAGAATTGGGGGGGGGGGGGGGGGGGATATTTCACGTGCTGCGCTTCACCTAGTCATGCGATTGACCATCTTCCTGAAGCCCGACCTTTGCGCTCCAGCCCTGCTTGCCTGCAGCTCCGGACACCCACTCAGAACTTCACCCCTTGTTACAACCCACGAGACTGATTACTGCCAGATTGCATCGACATTTGATACTGCGGAATCGTCTGATGAGGAGCAAACATCATCCCCAGAGGAGATTGATGCCCATACGACTGTTGCATCATCTGCATCGACACAGGGATCCCTTGCTGATGCATGCTGCCATTCATTCCGATCATTCCACCCGGCATGCCTAAGGATCCAATTCCTCCTTGATTACTTTGGTTGCTCTCCTTTCCTGCTGAATGGTCTCCACCTTTAGTCACTGAAGTCTTCTCTCCCTCTAGCTCGCGATACTTATGTAGATACACCTTCAGGGGTTCTACGTAGTCCTCAAAACCTAGTGTACTCATAGCCCACAACAAGTCGTCTCCATTGATCGTCTTTCGTTTCTCCCTCTGACATTTATCCGACGCTTCACCTGCGACCGATGCAAAAAACGTCAAACTCGAGCCAAACCCAGACGAAAGTGGAATATTGCAGAAGGCCGATAGTGACTGTTCGACAATCAGGTGGAGAGAACTACGAGAGCTTCATTGCCGTCTTGTGGAAAAATTCACACTTTCAATCGCTCTCCATGAACTTAAAGCTCACTTCACATTCCCATTGCGTATTAATACAGCTTCTCATAGACAACCTGCCAATGCAACTAACGCTTCAAACATACTCGGAACTTAAATAGCAATAGCGGCCAGCGGGAAATTATTCATCATACCTAGGCACGCTGCTGCATTTACTAAAAGTAACCCTAGTCGCTGTATGAAGCTGAACAACGGATTGTTACTCTATTCAAAACCATACTTCTTAACCATGTTACAACTCTACAAAGGGAGGGTAAGGCATCCACATACCAGTGATGAAACTGATGAATTCGGATACGCATTCCTGCACTGTCTCCTTCGCGTCCTTTGAGATCTTTGCGTTGGACGGCAACGCTTTCTTCATGATCCGACTTACGTTTGCTATCGGTAGAAAACGATCCTGCTCTCTCACAGAAGCATCGTGGTCTCGATAGTGCCCCCCTCCAGACTCATTGTCCGAATGCGGGTCGTTCTCTGGTGATCCTGGGTTGTGGCCGTAGCTGTCAGCCATTCCTTCCACTATGGGCTACTTGATCGCTATGAAGGATGTGTTATCCTCTTTGTGAGCTAATTATGAGCACGTTCCGTTATGGATGGTGCGAATGTAATCTGATTTCTGCAGGCGCGAAAAGAACGCAAACATGTCAATGCCAAAAGCAGAGCTGCAGAGATTCGGAAAAAATGTAAGATCGAAATGCAGAAAAATTACACCAAATCAGAGTTGATTGTAGAAATACGTGCACAAGGGTATCTAAGAGAAAGAAAGTGCAATCAATATTCGACAGAGTATGATCATGCAGTGCTGAGTGATCAATTATACTGATGAAGCACAAATGCAGTTCTGGTTGCTTTATATGCTGCGGAAGATTACCAAGAAAATATTGAGAGCGATTTAGGTGATACAAGGCTATTCATGTGCCACACCCGATCAATACGGTGGCGATTATATAATGCTATAAATAGAATGAGGAGGCGTCAAAAAAAAATGGAAGCAAAAATCACAAACTCTTCACAACAACAACCTCACCAAAAAGCTTTCTCCACAATTATAACAATCCTCATCAGACACAAAACGATACTCTATTGTTTGAATTACAAGGCCTGATTCCTAATGATCAACCAACAAAGATATGAATATATTCCACAAGAATTGCACACAAAACCTTTCAACGTCACTCTGTGCAATAAATTCGTTCCGTTAAGTACAAGCCACGCACTAAATCTTTCATCCCTCGAATCTCAATCTTTCATACGTTGTTAAGGCAGAAAAGCAAGGAAGCACAACAGGACCAAAACTTCGTCTGCAAAAAGACACCGATCTTTCACGCGCAGCCATCCTGTTCTCGCTCACAACAATGCACGATCACAATTCAAATCGAAGCTCCAGACTCGCTCCTCCAGACACGCGCCAATACACTAGCAACGATCACACCCGAGACGAAACAGAAATGACCGACACAAAAGGTCGCATTCTCGAGACGCTTCTTGTTCCCCTGAGAGCAAGCTCCGAAAACCTCAATACGAACCAAACAGCGCAACGGAATCGACGCTGCAGACCTCAATCGAACGCACGCATCACCAGGGCAGGGACAAGCCAATCTGATGCTCCGGCACACGAGATCGAGCGAGACGCGAGCGCGATTGTGCTCCTGGGGTTCGTCGACAAGGCGGACGGAGACAGGGCGACGAGAGAAGGCCAAGAGCAAAATGGATACGACCGGGTGACCTAGAAAATCCGCAACAAACAGTTTCCGGATCACTACCGCACCGAGATTTGCCTTGCAACCGAACACAATTGAAAGAGTGTCGAATATGAAAATTCTCCACCTCCTCCTCCTCCTCCTTCTTCTTCTTCGCAAAGCTCGCTCTCTCTCGGTCGCTCTCTCACTCTCGTTCTGCTTTTCTGCGCCTTTGCTTCCGGCGCCTTTGCGATTCTCCGCCCTGCAGGCTGCTTCCAGAGGTCCGTTCACAACGCGAGCGGAGGTAGGTGAACCTGTTTTCTCCAGATCCTGTTCACACTGCGAGGTCCACCGTGATGGAGAGGCGAGTTGAGGACGAGCGGGGTCGATGATGTGAAAATGATCCTTTAAAACTTTGGTCCCACGGGTTACTTTTACTTTTAAAGGACTTTAGGTTTTTTTCAACAAATGTGTGCATGTGTGTGTGTATGTATGTTGATATATACAAAGAATGAGTTTTTCCGTAGTTTATAGTCTGAAAAGCAGCGTTGATTTTTGATGCAAAGTGGTTCGGCATATTTCTTTACATCCTGTGGCACGACAAAAGTATACACACCCCAATTGAAGTAGGTTCAAAATAAAAATACATAATGAAATAGGTAAAACTGCTTTTTATTTATAAAGATGAATAAAAATAAAAATAAAAATGTTCATACGTTTATTTTTTCGTATTTTCACTCAAAAAATTATTTTTTACAAATATTTTAAAGTTCTATGATAATCAAAAAAGATAAAAAATAATAAGTCATAAATTACTGAATGCTTAATAATAATAATAATAATAATAATATGTTGTGAAAAAGTGAAAGAAACGAAAAAATAAGAAAATAAAATTTGAGAACACGGTTCCTTGTAAATTATCATATGGAACGTTCTTTTGGTTATAAAGTTTTTAAAAATTGTATGTGTTAAATTGACTTTGAATAATTTTGTAATGTGTCTAAAAGTATATTTAATATTAGGTTTCCTGATATTAAAGTTTGAAAACTTTAAAATTTTAAATGAGTATTAGCATATTATGTTTTTATACCAGTAAAGTACAATGAATGTTTATCATCAAAATTCAGGACATAACTTCCATAAAAACTAAATCTGTGTAAGTAATGAAAGTATTCAACTTGAAAATTCGGACAATAATAAATACAGAACGTTAAAAACATCTGTCTATTGCTTTTTAAATAGCATAGTATTAAAAACTTCAATAAAAAAAACTATTATAATATTTTAGATTCATTTCTTCAATAAATTCATTCATCAACATCCAACATTCAACATTCATCTGTATCCAACTCCCACGCTCTCACGTCGGGGCGGCACAATGTGTGGAGCTTCTCCACGAAGCCTTCCCAGTTTCAAACGAGGCTCTGGGCTAGTTCGTATTTTGCGCATTCTTCTGAGCTGTTTCATGCGCGTTGCATTGTTGTGTTTGTGTGCATGTGTGTGTGTGTGTGTGTGCGTGCGTGCGCGCGACAGAGAGAGTGTGAGAGAGTGAGTGGATTGTAGTAATGTAATTTTGTGCCAGCATGCTTTTTCTTCAATTAGAGTACAGATTTGGCATGATTTGGTGCGACTTGGCACAGTAATTTGATGTTTTGTGGACTGAGACATAAATTTCTCGGGAGTTTGTGAGTGCTGACGAGGGTCAGATGTTCATTTGAGGGGAAAAGAATGCACAGCCGACTGTCCTTGCAGGAGCTTTTACTGTCCGGAGTTCCCTGCTCGTCGTCTTCATTCCCATCCAGCTGCCGAAGCAGCGCGAGTGGAGAAATTGGTCCCACTGAGACCAAAATTGTGTATGGTTCAACTTCGATTGTTCAGTGCAGTAGGGTATCTGCTTCTGCAGAGGGAGGGGTAGATGTGCCTGTAAATTGTCGCAAGCGGGAAGGTAAAGCTGCATTGATCACTGATGAGGCGAAGAGACGGAAGGTGTTCAAGGACTCCTGGTTCCTGGTGGGGCGCCTCCTGCTCTGGAATAGGACGGCGAGTTCACATCCAACCAATGGCTCGAATTCGATGGATTGTCTAGCCTTCTGCGATGGTGTGGCAGCTGTTTGCTGCACTGTTCAAACGCTTGAACTTGACCTACTAGGCCAGTATGTGCAGGTTTGCGTGGTTCATTTGTGCCAGCTCTGATATTCGGGTGTAGAAAAAATTATTCTCCTGTTTTTTTTGTGCATAAAAATTTAGTAAGTGTGCAGATGTTAACTCAGCAACCACTTTTAAAGTCATGTTCGATACCTTGGTATACTTAACCATGGATGATATGGTCCAGGTCAATTCCTGGACCTTTGTACCAGCGACTCGGCAGCCAGTTGAGACATCGAATGCGGAGGATGGATCTGCTGTTTCTCGATTGAAACGGACAAAGTGTCACGAAAACGCCAAGGTACAAGAATTTTGTGGGAATGTGCAGGTTTTGCCTCAAACTTCGGATTGCGGGGGTTGCCTCGAAATCCATAGTATGAAACTATTGGGTGAATCTTCTGCACCGACGGCCCAGGTTAGTGTACTTTTGCACAGTTGATCCCTTATTCTGGTGAAGTTTGAAATCTCACCCGCGTAACAAATATTGAGGGTGATATTCACCTTTGGTCTCTGTTTTCGCAGGTGTCCGATTTTCCCTCTCTCTGTCTCAGTCCTGCCGCGGCAAGAACACGCAACCTCGTCTTAGAAAGTCCGTTGGAGAAGACCGCACCAAGCAAACCTCGTTTGAGGGTCCAGGGTTTCCTGCATTGTATCAGCCCACCATTCATATTGCCTTCCAAATCTTCCTTACAAAATGCACCACTAATTACAGATGGGAGAACTTCAATTGGACAAGGTCCACCGAGGTCTCTATTTAAAGATAAGAGCGAATCAAGACTTCATACACATGGCCAGTGCATGCCAGGGTTTTTGGTAGAGCTATGTACTCATTGTCTCGGCAGTATGTGCCAGCCAACATACAACAATTTTCCCCAAGCTACTTGCAGTCATCTTCTGGATCGGGAGGTGGTTGACGCAAGGGAGGATGGAAGTGTTGCCATTTACTTCTCCGGTGCAGTTGCTTCTTGGCGTGCTGTATTGGGTGGGATGCTCGGAGATTGTGTTGCCATCAGTGGGTTGCGCAGAAAAACAATCCGGTTGGGTCCTGACAACAAGGAGTTCTGTATCCATGTCGCAACACGGACAAGCTTAGTGTTCTGTATTGGCTCTAATCGTGGCGTACAGGGGGAATTTAGATTGTGCAACCACATTAACAGTGGTAATTTTCAAAAGCGACCTGTGTATCATTCCAAATATTCGAGTCGTAACGGTGGTTCGTTCGAAGTGGCGAAATCACCGAGCCTCAGTCTTCAAGTCCTATCGAGGATAGAACGTAACAGTTAGGCGAGAAAGAGAGTTGGACAAGTTGGTGTGGACGAGATGCGACTTGGCAGAATTGTTAATCACTCGCATGAGTACTCGCATATGCTGAGAATTGAACCCATGTTGTGTTGAGTGTTGAGCGATTTGTGGAAGTGTTCTATATCATCAAAGCCGTGATGTAACTATTAACTTAAATGTCACGGTCATCCTGCACCTTTGCGCATGATACATGATTCTTGATACTTTTTAGTGATGTGTGATGCTAGGTTATCATGTCACTCTCATGGTAAAATCGTTGTGCGGATGACAAGAAATAACCTGTTTGTGCAGGTCTTCAATCTTATGTGGGAAAGATAACTAGTATTCCAATGCAAGACCAGCTCTTGGAACTAGATAATCGGGTGTGGCTTCTCCTGACCCACTATAAACATACACAAATACACGGGCTCCAAGTGGGAGCTCTGGTGAGTGTCTGGCTCTGTTGCATGCCTTCCTAAATCACGTTATGCTGAATTCTGAATTTCATGTCAAGCATTTTCTTATTACAAGCATGGTTGTGCAGGTAGCTGTAAGACATGCTCACCGAATGATTCTCAGCAGCGTCTCAGATAAAGTGTTGGTTCTGGGAGCTTGCTCACGATCTCATATCTGGGTGATTCTCCATTCCATTTCAAATGCAAGGTAAGCTGTTGCTATTTCTAAAGAGAGACGCTTTTTCTATTTGAGCTCAGTATAGACTTTATGAGGATAGGAATGCACAACTTTTAGGGTCAACTTCACCTGATCTCGATGGGTATGCCTTTATTATCCTTAACTCTTAAACTGTCATCAATATGTTTACAAGTTACCAGGGGATTAATTCAATATGACCTGTTCAGCATTAATGTACCACCAAAAATAACTTTATCTGCTTTATCTATTCTTGAATCATAGTGCGTGCCATGCTCTGACGGAACTGGTTCGTGAGTTTTGATTACCAATGTTTGGATTTTCAGGACACGGATCCCTCAACCCTTGCAAAGTCGCTTGACTAAATACATTGGAAGCCTTCCCTTTGTCTCAGCTTTCTGGTACATCAAAACTTCAATTAATTTTGAAGTAGTTTCATTGCTTTACAGAAATCTATTTGTTTTTGTAACAGGAACTTACGACATCTATGTGCACCATTTCTGGCAGGGCTCTACAGGTGATCATCAGTTTAACTTGCAAATTGCATGGATTGTATTCAGATAAGGAGCTCCTCGGTTCAAAGAAGGTTCGTCACAATGATGTTTTCTTGAAGTTAATGTTCATTCACCTTGTAGGTAGGTCTAACCTGTAAAAATGAACGGACAAAGGTGGGCTTGGTTACGTTGCTCCTCCTTCACCTTGTACCCAATTGTCTCAGCCTTGGCAATATCATATTTCGTGGCATGTGAACTGCAACGTGCGAGTTTTTAGCCATGTCCTTTAGAGTTAGCGGATTTCAAAGTTTGTGGTGGTTATGTGCAAGACTTCAGCATGCCGGCCTTATACGGAAAGTTCTACCATCAATGATGGCCGCACCTGCCACTTTGCACCGAGTAAGTAAATGGCTCTTTGTCCGTTCATTCTTTCTTATCAGATTTGTTTTTGAGAAAGGATGTACTTGACTGCTGAAAATAAATGTTTGATTTCTTTTTGTGGGTCTAAGTCTCTCACGTTGGTCAGGGCACAGGATGCTTTCAAGGAGTTTCTATTGCACGAGCAATTCTGTTCACTTGGAGATACCTCCGCATCAGCATTACTGTCTAAGGTACCCTCTAATCACGAGGTGATAACATGGATTACATTTATAATTTGGAGCAGTTTTTCTTTTTTGAAATAGGTCCAATCCTATCTAAATGTCCATCCATGAAAGTAGCTGAGCAGCATTGGGGAGATAGGAAACATATTAAATTTGATTTATTACGTTAAGGTGCGCATAGGTTCAGGTTGAATTACAAAACGTAACAGTAAACTTTTGAAGACTGCATTTGCAGTCAACAACTCCGGATCTTTATCCGTGAAGATGTTGACGCTCCATTCATGAATCTACTGACAATTACATTAAATTGCTTGGAGTAAGTGGTGTAAAATACCTTCTATTCTTATTTTTCAGGTTCCACCACTGTCAAACTTTTGTGAGCATGTGGAGACGTTGTGGGTTGATACGATCTTATCCAGCTGGCAAGAAGATGGTTTTAGCAACAATAGTGACGCGAAGCCAAGTGGTCAGACAGCTAGGATCTGCAAGCCGATGGTTACATTGATCCCCTGCTATATCCGGAATGTGCTCTCTAGTTCAAAACTGGGTGTTGTACTCGTAGGTTCTCTGAAGGTAATATCTGGAATCAAATTTATCTCACAAGTCCTCACTGTTTTTAACTGCTGACAAGGTTATTTATTTATTTATTTATTATATATATAGAGTAACTTACTGCTGGACCATAGCGATGCATATAAGATAACGTAATACAAGTGCAATCGTCCATATTGAAGTTGTGGGGGCTTTCAAATAACCTGATTGTTGCTATGTGCCTGCACACCTTTATATTTACTTATTTATTTGGTTACACATTTTCTGAAACTAATTTTGTAGTTCACGGATTCATTTTTACAGGTGTGTCAATCATCAGGGAAGCTTCAACTGATTGATGCAACAGGAGCTCTTGATGCCGTTGTTCCAGACCTTGGGTCTCTTACAAACTTGCATTGTTTTTACCAGGTGCCAGCCCGTTCAGTCTGAATTTGAAAGCATCAATTTGTCTTGAGAGAGTTGCTTATTTCGACATCCTGTTAATTGTAATGCTGTGCTCTTCGCACAATATTGTTGGAGCCAGTGAGTACAGTGACGTGCAGCTCATTTTGTAAGTATCTGCAAACATGTTGTAGGGTCTTGCACCGTGTAGTCAGTAACATACAGGACCATCTGTTCCTACAATATCTGTCCTTACGTGCAATTGTTGCGTCGTGTGGCTACCTTTGATTTTGACAAATACTGTGCTTCTGTTGTTTCAGATTGCTGAATATACACTGATCATGGAAGGCGATTATAAACCTTCAGACTTATCTCCAGAAGAGAAGGACAGCAATTTATTTTCACCACTTTCATGGTCTAGGTTGCTGAAAGGCTCAGTATTTAGGAAAAGGATACCTCAATCGATTTCGTATTATGTGCAATTCCATCTACATTATGCAAACCGCTTACAAGGCCTAGCTTGGCCTTCAGAAGTTCAAAATCACGTTACTCAAGCTGGTGTTGATCTTCCCAGCAGAAGCCATGTGAGGAAAGATGTTTACAAAGGAAAAGAGTTCAACATAGCACTCATTACCCATAAATGCCCGGCTAGACTGAAGGTGATTGTCGCTTTGTATTTCTTTCACCATCCTTGACGGTGATGCTTCGGACTATTCAAGAGATCAAAGCTTTACTAATAATGCGCTGTTTGCATGTAACAGTTTTCTGCAGACCAGGTAAACCAATGGGCGTTTGATGCTGAAGCCGTGCTTCTTCCCTACAACCTTTTGATTCATCAAGATAATGACGCCTGCAGTGATATTCCCAATTCGCCCTTACAAACTTTCGATCTAAATCTGAGTGGAGCGCACGGAGCGACGGAAATTTCAAATCATGCAGATGCACTTCAACTCCACAAACTTAAGGAATTGGGAGACAATACAACATGTGCGCACGGTTCATTTTTGCCTGTTTCGGGGTGTTTGATAGATTGTTATGTGTGTTGTCTGGTTGAACAACATCCCGGACCCAAGAATTATGGCAGTCAATCCTTTTGTACGTTGCCAGCGTCGCTGGTGGCAAGGATTTGTTCTGCAAGAACGTCTCTCTCAGGTTCATACTGTGCGACTAAGGAAGAACATTGGGCTAGACTGTCAGAGGCTAAACTGCAGAAAGTTGTGCTTGCAATCAACTGGAAATCACTTGAAATTAGTCAGGTAACAACATCCGCACTCTTATTGTTCTTGTTGAGGCTTGAGGTAATTTAATTTGATAACAATCTTAAATATCCTCAAATGAAGTTTTGCAAGCATTCACATTAACATGTGCACTTGCTAAGTGATCTAATTTGTTGCATTTTACACACTACAACAAAGCTGTTATTGTTCCTGCAGGTGTTGAATACAGGGGATTGGTGTCTGCTGTCCACCTCTCACGGCAACCTGCCACCAGTAAATTCTTCACAATTGAATAAAGCGTTTAAGAGAGTGGAGATTGACGCCAGTAACTCTCTCATCGGTCTTAATTGGAGATATACTACGGATTGTCAAATTGCAGACATGAAAAACTTGCCGCAGAACGGTTCGTTCAGCAAGAGAATGACTTCAACTTTCACTCCTCATAATGCCTCCGACTCAAAATATATCGGTTCAACAGGAAATGCTACTGAAAATGAAGGAAGTACTTTGAAAGTCGATATGGGAAGATGTTCTGGTTGTGATATTGAACCGATGGATGAAGACTCCAGGGGCTGTCAGTCCCAACTTGTTGATATGGTGCTGACCATGTCCAACACCTTAGGGGACGAGTTCAGACACTGGTCAACTTCGCTCGAAAGCAAGCTGATTCCGCAGAATTTAAGCGTTAGTGAGGCTCTTCAGCTTGCTCCATATGTTGGAGAGGTATGTGACACCCCAAATGTTGGATCATCCGGTATACACTCTTTGCAAGGGGAAATGGTGTCCATCCGAGGCGAACTTGTAGCAGTAAAGTGTTCGAACTGTCCTACTACAACGGTTGATGGCGAACATGAAGAGCCAATATTCTCGAGGCTCTCAGGTCGTTCACGGCGACAAAAGATACTCTGTTATCTCAAGGATCTGCGCACCGAGCAACTGGTAGGGTCAGGTTCATGCGTCGTATCATCAAAATATATTGTAGCTTGTTTAACCTAGGTAGGTTGTGTTTCAAGTTGCTGATATAAAGCCGATGATTTTGGTGATTGTATGTAGTAATCTGAGTACAATTAAAATTGCAGATCGGAGTTCAGATCAACTTCAACAGGTCTGCGAGACCTGTTGGATTTGGGCCTGGTGCTGTGGTATGCTTTCAAAGAATTCTTTTACGAAGGTTTGGATTGTCTATACTCGTCACGCGCCTCTGAACTGTTTTGATGAATTAGTTTAATTTATCTTGTTCATTGTGCTCCACATTTGTCCCTGGCTTTAACTTTTGTACATCATGTGTAGGGATCGAAAATTGCTCGTTGGTATGCCGACTACAAACGTGGTTATTGAAAGTGTGGAGAGAAGACGTCACCAATTGTCGCAGAGGAGACAATGGCTGAGGTCTGAGAGCTTGCTACGGCAAGAGCAAGATGACTACGCAGAGAATGCTGGTGATGTGGATTTTCTCAATGACTTCATTCGTGAAATGGAACCCAAAAAGAAGCACCTGAGAGTTCATTGCAATGTAAGCATTGTTTCTTTGTTGAATATTAGCTCACTGCTGGGAACGATTAGGTATCAATTTCGAGTCTATATTTCAGTTGAAACTCGATCGTGTCTCAATTTCAATCGCACTAATTTCAGGGCGTCACCGTGTTCAGAATGTAACTGTGCAAGAACTTGAACTGGATTGGCAAACAGAGAGAATTTTCTCTGCAGATACACTATCTGTGGTGGACGATATGATAGAGGATATTGCAGTCAAACGGGCCTGCTTCATTATAGGTCAGAATGATCTTTCGTGTATGCTGTACCTGCCCGAACCAGTTTGGAGCTTAAGAGTTATTATTCATATTGTTGGTTGAGGTGCCTAATTCAGCTGCTGATATTTCGTGATGCATGATAATATACACCAGTACACGTTCAAACCATCTGAGACATAATTGGCATCGTTGGTTGTAGATGACGGATCTGCAGTAGCTGAGTGTTGGGCCAGTGGAAATGAGGCAGCTATACTTCTTGGGTTGCATGGATCAGGAAGACATATGTCGCCTGTGTCTCCATCTATCATCTCGTTAGCACAGAATTTTTCCCTACATGGTGAACAGCAACTCACTCCGAGAACATCGTGGCCTCAAGTGCTCAGATGTCTGGTGCGAAAACACAAAAATATTTTTTTTCAAGGAAAGACCTCACAAGAAGACGCAGAGACCATTTCTTGGGTTGCCAAGGGTGCTAATGGTGATCTTGAAGAAAGCGATGCTTTGGTTTTGAGATTATTCTTGGAACAATCATGTCAACTTGGTCCAAAAGTGAGTGAACATAGGAGCTGATTTTTTTGTTTTTACTACGCTGTCGAATGTTCAAGTTGGGCTGGTGAACCCTTGTTCTAATACGCTGAAATTTTGTGCTGTCTAATGTGCAGATTGTGCATTGTTCCACAATGTCAAGTAAAGACATGTCAAAGTACTGTGAGGAGTCTCGCTCGAGGCAAAGTCTCTCTTGTGCTTTAGAAATGGTTAACCAATTTAGTAAACCTTGGCAAAAGCTTGTGGCCACAAAGGTGGACGTGCTAAATATTTGGGTTGAGCTTCAACATTTGGCCAGCTGTCTCGTTGTATAAAGTATAGGTTACGTAGATGTTAGTTTTGTAAGGAATTTTATTCTTTTACAACATTCCCAGCGATGTTTGTATTTTTCATTTTCACAAAGTAGTCTGTGGCCATTGAATCGTAATTTGGAAAGATATGAGATACACTTTATGTCATTCTGACCAAAGAGTGTATCCACTTTATCAATAATTCATGTTTCAATGCTGTCTTTGCCATCTTCAATTATATTGTCCAAAATAAACTTGAATCTCCAAGATTATTCCTGTTTGTGCATGAAACTTTATCCAAATTTTGTAAAGAACATATGGCAAGTGAAAAAAGATGACTTTGAATGTCTTAACTATGTTTTATTGATGTAAAGTTATAAACATTTTTAGATAGAAGCAAATGTATTGTGAAGCAGTTAGATTTTTGCAAGAATTAGAAAAAAGATTATCCTTGTGTATGTGTGTTTATATACACATATAAACCTTTGCCACAATACACTATTGATAAAATTGGTTTACTTTTCTTACATCTGTCTATCAAATCACCAAAAAAAGATGCTTTTGTGGATCAATTTTGTAATATTAAAAAAGAAAAATATCATATATACCCCTCAAATATGTTGAAATATCAAGAATATCTATGTGTTTTTGATAATAGCAAATGTATCCTCATTGGTGATAAGATATCACCATAATTCCTTGTTTAGTCATCATCTAAGCCCAAACTATGGGCCATACAATTTTTTTTGTGCCTCTTTTTAGCTTTTTGGAAAATGGAAAAATCTTACCTTTTCTTCTATCGATTTGCAAACCATGACTCACATTGCACATTCTTTGTGGCACCATCACTCTCCTCTCCCTTGCAACACTCTTCACCAAACTTACTTGTCACACAACTACTCTCGTTGCATTCCACTATTCCAAATCTTCTCGACTCTCTCTTTCTTTACTTCAATCTCCTTCACTTAACAACATCAACTCCTTGATGTGTTCTTGTACACTAGACCAACCAATGAGCTAGGCTGCATCTAAAACTCTTGCAAAATATAGTTGGAGCTATTGATTCATGAACACAACACAAGAGAGAGAGTATGGTGTGGTTATGCCATTCTTAAAGCATAAAGCAATAGAGGTGTGATATTGTGAGGGTGCAAGTCCGTTGAACTAAATGCACCTAAACTAGCCTCTAGGCAAGCAAACTTCTTCTATTGCCCAAGTTACAACATGATCTTGCAAGATTGACAAAACACTCTAAAAGCAAGCCTCGTCTATATTTATATTCCAGGTTAAAAAAGGATGTAACAAAATTTGTGCGGCTCTCAATCTTGGCCTTGAATGATGACTAAACAAGGAATGTTAGTGATACCTTATCACCATTGAGGGTACATTTTCTATTATCACAAATTTGAGGGATATATATGCTATCATGAAGAATACATGGGTATTCTTGATATTTTAGCATATTTGAAGGGTATATATGATATTTTCTCTAAACTATTGTTACATACATTTTATTTTGATTTGATTTGATTTGATTTTTTTATATTTGAAATACATATCTAATACTATTTTATTTATTTATTTATATTTCATGAAGTTATTTTCATTTAAAGAAAATTTTAATAATTTTTGTTAACACCAACGTATGTAGAAACACTTGACTAAATCTGCATAATTATCTCACTTCATAAACATATGCTATAAGAGTTTTTTAGTTGAATTTGTATAGATGTTAGACAACAAGTTTTAAGAAGAGTACATATGAATTTTAACCCATGAAACTAATTTTTTTGACCTTATAAAAAAAACATTTGAAGATTTTTATCACATCTAATATTTTAACATACATAAAGACAAAATGGGATGACAAAATGTGCCATGGATGACATTATGCCAAGGTTTGTTAAACTTCTTGAATAGTGTAGTTCAGATTCAATAAATCATGTCAAAACAACATTAATAATTTGTAAAATACACATTACTAGAAGACAAAATGAAATATTTCTTTTAAAATCTTTTTTTAAATTTTTGTTGTGATTATTGGGTATGGAATAAATACAGCTAAAATTAATCAACTCAAGTTGCAGACATCTTTTACCACATGTCAACAACAGAAGTAAATGTATTATGTGAATTATTTTAGTGAGGCAAAGCTTCAATATTATAAAAACACTAATCACAGGAAGAAAGATGTGCAACCAAGCTCCATAAATTCGATCAAAATGCTTTCCTCCATAAAAATCGAGAGGTCCTTAGCATTCAAGTTGTGGGGCATAGAACGCAACAATGAATCAGTCTGTGTGTTGCATCGTACAGTAGAAAACTGGACACAATGGCCTCACAATACAACTACGCATTGACTGAAAACAATAGCAAACCAACATCTGGCTTTCTGAGTATTGTAATTTGCTTATTATACAAACATTTAAGGCATTAGCCTCTAGTTTGCCTTCATTAGAGACAAGATAACCACCCTGTATTGCTACGCTCTGTATAGGACTCTTACATCCTATACACAGACTACTCTTAAGATGGGATTGAAGCTTCAGTCTATACACTTGACTCGGCAAAATGTCCACAATAACCCATGTTTTGTGCCATTTACAACTGCTTATAGGTCTCGATCACTCAGTCCAGATTTTGGCGTGCCACCCAGCTGAGACATCGCAGGTCGTGTCAAAGGCTTTAATTCCTGCATAATGTCCGAGAAAGTGGGCCTCGATCTTGGATCCCTGAAAGCATTAGGAAATCAACCTTTAGCTAATGTAGACCAGGACTCAGCATGCAGACTGTTTGTACAGAAAAAAGTTACTGGCCTAGCGTCTGACAAGCCAGGACTACTCCGGCCTAAAGGATTCCGTGGTCCCAACGCAGTATACCCGAGGCCAGCAGAATCCGCCTGGGTTCAGCGTGACCAGGTTTACTTTCTTCAGAAACGTAGCAAGGTTCTGATCCACATTCACGAGAAGGTACCGAATGTGTTTGGTGCAACGCAGAAACCAAATCAGATGATTAAAAAGAAAACACGTAAATGAAACAACTCTACGAAAAAAGACTGGAACATACATGCGCCAGCATGCTTTGATGATATTGGAGACATTTGAATCAATGCTCTCGGGTATTGGAAGCCTTCTGTGCTGAAATCCAACAGCTCCCACAACCTGAATGCAGCTCAATAATCAGTAAGGTTTTCAAAATATAAAGTAGCAATGGGGTTTTGCAATTTGCAACATTAAGTCTGAAGAATGGTTTGCAAGAGGAATTTAGCCTTTGGGCACATCATTTTTACATCATATCCACCCGAACAAGAAATTATTGCTACGATATTGAAGTCAGCATGACGATGGGACTTAGTGGTTAAGAGTGGAATAGCATAGCACGTCAAATTTAACAAAGTTTCTTTGTAGTTTAGTGATGTAATGATAATGTTCAAGATTATTGGAAGCATAATCCCCTCTTCTTAATAATTTTCGCACAAAAGAAAAGTCAAGAAGACGAGCTTGAATTACAGTTTAGGAATCAGTCATAAGAGCTTCAAACTTTCAAATTCCGCTGTGTGCATAACCTACTCCAACAGGCGAAACAATTTGGGACGATCAAGGCCTAGTTGGCTACAGAAATGAAATAATAGGATTATCGCCCAGACCTGAATAGGATTCATTCCTGCCCAAGGTTGCTGGAGGGTAGCAAGTTCCCATAGGATGACCCCAAAACTGTACACATCCGACCTATACACCAGAATCAACCGTTACACATACAGCAATATCAGAATAGTAATAGATACATTGATCTTTAAGGTCCAACTTCTATACTGCAGAAGATAGGTCAGTTCGAAGGACATTGATTCTGACCTGCTAGAATATAATCAATACGAGGAGTAATTTGTCCAAAAATAAAGGCAACGATCACCGATTCACAGTAATTAGGGGACTGAAAAAATCCCCTACCATTTTCTATCACTTCTGGTTCGGCTCTGACACAAACAGTATCTGAACTAAAAGTTGCTGCTATAAAATCGGGAGGAAGGCGGGGGGTTTAAATAAATAAATAAATAAATAAATAGCCCAGGCTGTGTTCTTCCCAAAAGATACGTCAACAGACAATGATGTGAAAAGGCTTACTTTTCATCCGAGAGCTCATTTCGAAGCACTTCTGGTGCCATCCACTCCGGCTAAACAGAGGTGCAGGAAGAAACATCAGTAGGGAAACATTGTCGCATCTATAGCAGCATTAGCAGTTTGAGAGTCAAAGCAACCTTTGTTGTCTTCAAATAAATGCAAAAAGATATATCCTTCTTTTTCAGGAATAAAAGAGGGGCAAAAAAAGTCATAGATAAGTTTAAAATATACCGTTCCAGCGCTTGACTTTGATGTTAAAAATGTATTGTGCTTCAACCGAGACAGTCCGAAATCACAAACCTGCACAACTCCCAAAAATATAATCAGAATAAAACCACCAAACAATAGAGGTTGATCCAAGGAAAAAGGCACATGAATTTAACAGACTTCTTCACAGAAAGCAACGCCATTAGACCAACTTCTCATCGCATAAATGTGACTGGCAGCAATAGTCAGCACGACTAACCTTCACAGTCCAATTCTTATCAACCAATAGATTGGGTGATTTGAGGTCCCTATGTACAATTGGTGGTGAGGAACGATGTAGATAGTTCATTCCTTTGACCTACAAAATGAATGATATATCAATTTCATGACCCTACACTTCACCATTAAAAGCGTGCTCTGTCAAACTGGACAAAATCGATGTTCACCACTATTACTAACCTATGATGCGAGAAACGGTTTTTCCCAGAAATCCAAAAAGTTTGAAGTAAATAAGTAAGCAATATAGTTTTTGTTTACAAGATCCCACGAATTTCCAATTTTCCAAGAAACCAAAACCAAAATCTCAAACAAGTCGGGACGAAAGCTGACCACATCCAAGGCCATGCGAAGACGTCGACGCTCATCAAGCTCTCGATTGGGTCTATGTAGCAGCCTGTACAGACTCCCTCTACAATCACAGAACCAACATTCGATTAGCACTCCCAACACTCATCTGGCACATCTTACGTTCAAAAAAAATAGTGAAATCTTCGTGGGAATACATTATCACAATCTAAACAAGTTCTTGCATTCAGCAAATACCCTAGTTCGATATTCGTGTGACCAACCTTGGACAAAATTCTGTGATGATCGATAAATTGGGAGGTACTGTGACTGCTCCCATAAAGAGAACAACGTTAGGATGCCTCAGTCGCCTCATGATGGCCACCTAAAAACAAAAAATAGCACTAACTCAAGTAAAAACTTGTACTTCTGAGAAACGTGTGGGGCGCAAAACAATTTTTGGGTGCAACTTGAGACTTGCTAATATTTCCCAGAACAATAGTACCTGCGCCACGCCACGATGTCATTTGCTGGGAAGAAAACAATATTAAGGCATACTGCTCTATAATGTCTTTGCCACGATAAATCAATCTTCTATCAAGAATCTAAAGTTTAACACAATAAAATCCAGCATACCTCTCTCTTGAACTCTTCCAATGCCTCCACCTTTAAGTCCTGATCTAGGAAAACCTTCACAGCGACATCCTGCACCACCAACGACGTCGCTTTGAACAACTTGTAATCCAAGAACGCATGATCCAGCACAAAATACAGAATTAATTCCTTTTATCATACTTGGTTGGTATAGAAAGGATAGACAACTATGACAAGTATGTAAAAAAAAGCTCGGAAGCTTCTACAGAAGAGAACAAAAGCTACTCACCGAGCCTTGCCAATCAGCCCGATACACTTTACCATAAGAACCTGCGACAATTCGAAATACCGGCTGTTGAATTACAAGCTCGTCACATAGCAGAATCAAAGGCAAAGCATGGGATTAAACTTTAAAAGCCAAATCGGGGAAGGAATCTTCGAAAAAAACATGAAAAGATGAGGATAATTGTTCTCACATTTTTAAAAAAAGAACTAGCTTCTCACCATCCACATGAATCTATTGTGCAAGAGTACGAGCTGGCAGGTACATTCTTCCATCCCTACACTACTCGAACTGAATATATTAGAGCATTTTGTAACATCAGAATTCTGACTTAGACACGATAACGCACCTTGTCCTATACGTTCACCGATTATGAGGTCCTCCCATGGAATCTCAAACTCCCTCGCAAATTCTATTGCATTTTCAACCAATCTGTCTCTGGAGTACTTGCTTGATGATTCCTCTTCCTGACTACTTGAAGCTCCCCTTTCTGGTGGATGGACACGCCCAGCGACATCATCGGACTGTCCAGAACCCACCTCAGAATGCCTTGTCCGTCCTGCATCTTGGTTCTGACTAGGCTGTGAACTTTGAGAGCCATCGTACTGGCCACCTCTAAGATGATTTTCCATTGGTGAGCTGTTCTCCTTTTCCATTTCTCGTTCTCTAGCTATCTGTGCTACACTAGTCCGTTGGTCGAATTGTAAGGGAGTAAAATCGAAAGGTTGAGGAGCAACGTTTCCTCTAGGTGAAGGAATGCCTCCTCTCCTCGGACCCATGTTCTGAGAAGGTCCACGTGGGGAACTCAGGGAACCCTGATCGATGTCAATCTTAATAGGAACTGTAGGCACAGCTGTGGTGCTGGGCACACTCAAGGTTGCATCAGAAGCACCTCCAACTTTTAGCCCACTTCCTGCTTCTTTATTTCCCACTTCAGAACGTGAGTAATGAAGTACTGAAACACTGCTCCCACCAAAAGGACCTTGCCTCTCAAACTGCAAGGGTGAAGCAATGACGGCAGGTGGAGCAGCTAGTCGTGAGTCAGGAGCCAGTATCTGCCCAGGCTTGACTAGAAGATCGACCATCCATTCCCTGAAAATAAGTAAGTAGTTGATTAAATATATAATTATCAACAAACAAATATAAGTGCATCCTTAGAAGCAGATTACAAACACTAGAGTCACTATGTCATTTACTATCTCAATAAACATCAAGCAAACACAATCCATCATAACCACACCCGCATCATTCATACTTACGAGTTCCCACCAAAAAGCATGTTTGGACATTCCTTTCATTCAAGAGAGAGCGTAATACCTATCATCTCCACATTTAACAACCACCATTGCATCGTCCTCTTTGCCACAGTACGAAGATCCACGAACCAGACGACATGGCAGTCCGACACTATCTGCCATCACCTGTGCTCATGCGAAGCCACGATATTACTGCCAACTAAACACAGACTTCCACAAACCATGCCCCTATAATTCACATCCAAGGAATGCCATAGGGTTATACCTTGAACAGCAGTGCTCTATGTCTCCCCAAGCCACATTTCAGCATTCCAATGGGAAGCACTAGACTTCCAAGCAGTAGGGTCATTTTGGAGGTATTAGTTCGCCATGTCTCAGCTAAAGCCTCATCCGAAACTGCAGAACCACCCATTTGAATTGCCACCATCTGAGCCAACTTGGCTGCTAGATCCAGAACTTCTTGGGATTCATATGCAAGTGACACAGCCTTGTCCTCAAGCTCCCGAAGGTGTGGATCTCCATTTCTGTCTACGAGGACAACCTCGAACTCTGCCTCTGCAGGGTTGACACTCCTAAGCGACTCCAATGGAGGCATGCGCCCAAGTTCATTGGAATCTGTGCACATGGACCATACGTAGGGGCTCATGCCCCAAATCTCATAAAAGCCATCCTCGATACGATCTTCATAACCTAAGCAGTTGCTAACCTGCAATAAAATTAAATACGTTATATCCAATTCAGTCAGAAACTTTCACTTCAACCAAGATCCAGCAGCATCCGCACTGCCCATGCATACTCGACAAATACACTGAAAGCAAACAGTAACTACCATGGCTGATCCATAGTGTGGATGTGCTTTGGTGAGACCACTTAACGGGGCAGTAGAACGGCATGTTACTAATAGATTGGCGAGTGCTCAAGATGTCTTCTGAGCGTTGAAGCATCGACCACTTGAATCCCAATTTCAGTATTACGATGGCAGTATGCAGAAGTAATATAATAACTATTAATGGAATATAGTTGGCAAGAAAACCACTCACCCAATACCGGTAAGCTGTGGATTCTACACGGCTAACACCTGGCACTAGCCGCGCGCTCCCCAATGGACCCCTTTTGTTTGCAGATAAGTCTGGGTCATCAACTGCAGCGGCCTCCGCTGCAACTCGCAATGCTAGGGCCAACTGAAGCTGGAAATCCTCCTCAGCTTGCTGAAAATTCACTCCTCCTGAAGGCCCAATCCATGCATTCCATGCGGTGCTTTCGGCCGAGCTTCCCTGTACGGAAGCGATGTTAGGGCTCCCTGATACAGAATTTGCTGCACTTCCACTGGATGTCCGAGAAAGCACCTGAGCCAGAGCCAATACGTATTTCAAGGCGGACGGACTACAAGTCACCCTACATTAAATAAACGGTGCAAAAGCAGGTGTCGATGACGACTATCTTTCTTGTGGATATGCCACCTCCAAATTTGAACTGGGATCAGCGATGTTAATGCAAAATTACTCGGAAGAGGTGCAGCTGTTGCAGTCAGTCTGCATAGCATTATCTCGTGAACTTAAACTCTACAGGTCTCGAACATCACTACATTTTTTCATCATTCACTCCTTCAACTTCTAGCTATGCCCCGGGTGCCACTGAAGAAATATACGATAATAACCTCCACGCAATAAAAGGCAGTTAATGCGTGCTGAAACACTGCCGCTAAAACTGAACCAACAGTTTGAATTCAGTATGCAACATCGCAAGTACATATCATTCGCAAAAGGCTTCCACACCGGCATGAATGGGCTTGAAAAGATCTAAAAGGACAACGAATACCATAAATATAGCTATTACCGGACAGGATGAAACCTAAAATAAGGAGCAACAGCCGAGAATAAAAACTACTGACGAATCCTTAGGTCCACTTTGTCAAAGCTTAGTCTCATGTGTATAGCGTGCTAAGCCTTCAAACCGATTGCTCTAGTCTCAGAGCCGACGAATGCACCTACACTCGATAGGCTTGTAGAAACCATCAACTACCATAAACGCACTTAACTATATTAAAATCGTCAGCACAAGTGTGACCTTACGAATATATTCCTAGATGAAAACGCTACGGAAATCCATAACAAAGAAAACAAACCGCAATATTAATTCGGAAAAAATCATAAAGTAGATTCATAAAACCAATACAAATGACAATTGACTTCATTTCAGCGTTTACTTCCTTCTCGGTTTCAGTACAAAAAGAACCACCTACGACAAGCAACAACACATGTAACCTATAAATTCTGGAAGCTTCGAAAGGTCCCATCCACATTAACAAGCTAGTATAAATGTTCAACGTGAAAAAAACGTACAAGACCAACTACAAAAACGAAACTCGAACCTTTTTCAACGGCTTGACCATGTTGTGATTCCTAAACAACGTTGCTACTGATGAAAATCCTTCAAATTCCATTTGCAAGTCCCTATCCTTAAGGTTGGCTAAAATTTCGAGGAATTTAAACTTGCTTAACGAAATTCCGTAGAAGTTTCTCAATGACACAAAAGGATAATACATATCTGCTTTTGACAAAGTCGGCTAGAGCTAAAACTCAAGTAACCATCACAGGACAGTACCAAAAGTTTCTTGGCGGTCTAGGAAAATCTAAGAAAGGACAGAGGAGTGAGGAGCAACGTCATTTAGGATGAACACGCACACGAACAAGCAAAAGGAAGGGAATTCTGGCATACCTGAAAACCTCCGAATTCCTCGTGTTCCCCCTCACCTCCCATAATGTAAGGTCCCCCACCATGACCGACCGCAACTAGAGGTAGTGCAAAACCGTCGACGTTACTTAAATCACCGGTTCTATATAAATCGTTGTGCATCCTACCCGCAACAGAACCATGCGACATACGTTCTCGCTCCTGAAGAAAATCATTAGGATCTTCGGACTCCCACGAATTTTGCCTTTCAGGAGGCCATCTAGGACCTGCGTCCTCTTCCTCCCGCCTCATTCCGGCGCCAATGTGTAGTTTCCGCAAGAGTTGTTCCACCGAACTACGCCCCAATTTCTGTTGAGATAGAGCTTAATGGAGTTAGGGCAATTTGTAGGGCGATAAGAAATTATCAGTAAGAAGAGGTCGTGAAATTTGCGAGGTGGGTATGTGACAAGGCGGGGTGCATTTACTTAAACCATCAACATCTGATTGATCCATCTTACTCTCGCCGCACATCATGTGTTCCACACTATCTTCTACATTTATCCCGCTATGCCAAGAGCTTGTAAGATATACAAAAACTTCAGCAATTCTTAAGCTGACCTCATCAACTCTATACACTAATAATTTGGACATTGTTTTAAAACTCATATTCCATCTGCGCAGTAGCTCGGACTGGTGAGATCTATTCTCCATGGCATTCCAAGCCGCACTCAACTAAAGCCAAGCTGACTCAAATTACCCGCAACACAAGCACCTCTCACCAACATCAGTAAGTAGAGAAGCACACGAGAAAATACAAAAGAGACACACCAGAAGGTTCTTCCCAGGTGCGTCACCATCGCTGGGATGATGTAAAGCACTCTTATTTGGTAAGTGAACTGCGTCCCCAACATTATTTTCGTCCGTTATCTTCCCAGTTCCTTCATCAAAATAGTTCCGGGCCATAAGTTCAGGCATACTATATGGCTCTGTACAAACTGAAATTCCACTGATTTTTTGGTCGTCGTCCAGGATAGGCTTCTGTGTCACCACCGTGTTCAAAATCGCATTATCTCTGCGAACACATGAGAATTGACCTATCCACACTTCCCCTTGTCCCACACGCATAATTGTATCTAAGGCAGCTGTCTTCGCGTTCGGAGGGACTATTAAATCCACCAAATTTCTACCCATAACCTCCCCCTCCTTGAATTGATACAACTGCTCTGCGGCTCGGTTCCTGAGCAATCACAATCAGTTATAACCAGCCAAATAAACTCCAAATTGAGCATACAACTCCTAAAGATCTCGGATTTAGCACGTATCGACTGTTCCTAAGACTGTCACAGTAGCACGTCCATGAGACTGGGGCTATCCGATTTCGGCGCCCTTAATCCCAACTCCAACATCTAAGAGACTGAGATTTTTGCTCGAGTCAAATGGGATTTCAACCGCAATACAAAAAATCCAAAACTACTCAAGAACTGCGAATTCAGAAAATCACCCATTTGACCCACCCCAATATGCTACCCGGCGTCACCCACATATACATCCCACCAAACCGGTCACCCCCTACCTTTCCACCAAAAAGGTCCAACAGTGCCCTACAGAGATCACCTATCCAAATCCAGGGCCCCAAAACCCACCAGCTAGTAATATTCCCGCGAAGATCGATGGAGACACATGGCTGGCTGGGATTCTGCACCGTACTCTGCTGCTTCGTGCTCCCAGCCCTCCCAAATAAGGATCCCGAAGGACCACTTCCACCACCACCACTCCCACTAAAGGAAGACGGGCGGGAGTATTGCGCTAAAGGCATGGCTAACACACTACGGCGCTGCTGCGGCGGCGGCTGCTGCAGCACCTGCCCCTGCTCCTGATGAAATCGCTCCCGCGAACTCTGCGCCGAATGACCCCGTCTCAACTCCCTCACGCGCGCATCATCGTCCCCGCTACTCATCCGGTGATCCCGCTCCGCGTCTACTCCTCCTCCCGCTCCAGCGCCCCGCGCCCTGCCTCAACCCGAAAAACGCCCCCAATCCCACGAAATCTTTCCAAAACCCAGCCCAGTCCTCGCGACGCTACGTCCACTGTCCACCGAACCCCACGACCCACATGCATCCACAACAACGCGCGTCTCGCAGGTTTTGTATCTCATACCGTCAGCGTCGCGATGTGCGTGCAAATCTGGGTGTGACCTGGAGCTACAGCATCAACCATAACAACAACACCAACACCAAAGGTAGAAGAAGTAGGAAGAAGACAAAAGGAAGAAAGGAGAAGGAGAAGGGTGCGAAATGGCCTTCTGTGCTGCCATTGCTGTGGCCTTTGCCCTCGCCCACCCCCCCCCCCCCTAACTCCCCCGACCCAGCCCAGCCCATCCCAGCTCCTTTCCTTTGCTTATCTTTCCTTGTCTTTCCTTTCCTTTCCTTCCCCTTTCTTTCCAAATCCCTTGGTGTTTGTTGTCCCCTGCCCGCCTGCCCGTCTGCCCGCCCCCTACGACAGCTGTGCCACGCCATCGACCTGGGTACCTAAACCCTATTTGATCGAAGTGTGATACCCGAAACTTGAATTTTGTTGAATGTTTCTGTCTATTTTTATGAACTGTAGAATGTGGCTCTTGTGGGGGAAATAAAATTGAAGAGAGGGGGGGGGGGGGGTCCTTTTTTTTTTTTTTTCTTTTTCTGGGTTCTTTGGTGTTTGTTCACTTCTGAAATATCTGTAATTTGGAGTTTGGGAATGGAAATTTTGAGCAGTCTATATGTTTATATATATATATATATATATATACACATATATTCTGTTCTTATGAAACATGTTGAAGTCACACAATGATTGGTTTATGATTTGGATTTTTTTCATATTGATCTTGGGTTTTAGTAGTTAATTTATTAATTAGTAAATTGAAGAACTGCGAATAATTATACTAGTGTATCCTGACTGTTTTATGTTACTTGATTAACATTTATTTGGAAACTATGTCTTGTAATATACAAGTGTTTAATCATTAAAATGAATAAACAAGTGAAGAAAACATGTATTACTGGATATTTGATATCATGGCAAATTGATTGTAGTGATAAAATGTTTTGTTATCATAAAAAAAACATACGTACATACGTACATACACAAAAGGATCTGTTCAATGTATTTAGTGTCTAATATTTGTTTAAATACACATAAATAAACAAATGAAAACTCAAATTTTTCCTACCAAAATATTTTCCTCTTCTGCACTATTCATTATTAGTTATTTATAAGTAATGTTTTATTGAATCGATTTCATAGTTATTATTATTATTATTATTATTATTATTAACACCAAAGATATTATTTTCAGCCAATAAATACATGGGCAAGAATTGCACATATGTAAATGATTATATCTTCATCTCAAATTAGAGTATAGTACCATAACTTTATCAATTAAATTATGCATTTTATTCAATTTTTATATGAACAAGTTTTTGGTGTTTATCCTCAAAATCTTAATTGAAATCTCTACAAGCTTGGATACTATATATATATATATATAACAACAGATCAAGTTGTTCACAATTTTTCTTTCATTGTAAAATTACAAATTCATGACAAATTGTTAATGTATGTATGTGTATATATGTATAGTATAAATCTATTTCAAATATCCACAGATTTTTACTTCAATGAATATCTATTAAAAATTTCACATTTTTCACATGAAATTTTTGATAATCTAAATTAAAATTGAAATCTATATGAATAATTTCAAAGTAATCAACATAACAAAACAAATTCTTATTACCATAATTATGCCAAGATTTAAAAGACTTACAAGTCACAAAAAAAGTAAGATTAGAGACCAGAAGATCATAAACATTAGATGATTTAAGTCTTGTTTATAACTTTATGTTTTCTGTTTCATTTGTATTAAAAAAGAATCACTTTTTTTTATATAGTTTTATAGTCCTCCTTCTATTTTTTATTTTTCTATTTTAAAATTATGTACTTGTTTCATATGAAATATCATTAATAGAAATTTTGGCAAATTTCCAAAAGAATTCAATGAGCATGGAATACTTAAAAGGAAGCTAGGGTTGTTTGTTGTATGAAAGTATTAATGGCAGATATGGAAAAAGATTTGGTTAAGTTAAAATAATGTCCAATTGCTTTGTTAATTTTTGATATAATATCTTCATATTAAAAGTTATTATATAAAAAAACCAATTTATTAAATTATTTTTTAAATTACAATAATTTTCAATAAATAAATATACAAAAATAGATGATTTGAAAAAAAAAATTATAATTTTTTTTATTGATTAGAAAACTCCAAATAAAAATCTCAATGAAAACACAATGGTTATATAATTTTTTAATTTGTTTTACAAAAAATCATATTATTTTTCTATTCTTTGTCAATTAATCAATTTAGATGAATGTGATTTAATTATATAATTATTTAAATGTATTCACATAATCTGAAGTATTTGTGATAAAAATTAATTTTTAAAAAATTTCATTTATAAAATTGAGAAGATTTGTAATAAGGCATAGATAAGATATCTGTATTATTGGCACATAGAGATAAATAGTTAGAACCATGTTTGAGAAGTTATGGAAGTTTCTAGAATTGAGATTAGGCTAGTGGACCAAGTAGGATCTACCATAGAATATTTTAGAAAGAATTTAGGGTGGTTATTTAGGTGGAGTCCACCATATATCCTTCTAAAAGGAACATAAGGCAATTATCTAAGTAGGGCCTATTATAGAACATTCTAGAAGGAATTTAAGGTGGTTATCTAAGTAGGGACCATCATTTAGGAACATTCTAGAAAGTCCACGGTACTGGAACAAAGTATAAATAGGACTGGCTAGGGCCTTTTGGGGCATTTGGTCAGGTATGGCTTTGGATCTTTTCTCTTAACAAAATTGAGTTTTGTATTTTTTTTTGGTTTTGTTTTGTTTTATTCTAATTCCAATTCCAATTGCTTAGTTTTGTCTTTCGTGTCCCATTCAGTTTAGTTTTGTTCAGTTTTGTTGTGGTCCAGTTTGTCTTATCTTGTGATGAGATTTTATGTTGCTATGGATGAGAAAGATCTTGGACACTTGACATAGACTAGTCTTGTTTCAAGATTATTGAAATAAAAGCATATTAAAAAAAATTAATAGAATTATAAAAAATAAATTATATATATAATAAAATAATATAAAATAATATATTTATAATGGATTAATTTTTTTACTTTAATAGATTATAAAAGACTTTCAACATTACCAAAAAAAAATATATTACTTTTTAAAGAAACTTAACTTCCAAATTTTTATTAAATTATTTCAAAAATTAAAAATAAAGATTATAATATTTTTTAAAAAAATCCAATAGTAGTTTTGTAAATATTATTTATTTATTTTAATTATAAAATATATTACTAATTCAATTAGCTTATGAATTATTAAATTATAATAATATTATAAAAAAATACAAAAAACTATGCGTATTTTTATACTTTTACAATTGGCCATTCTCATGTCTCTTTCTAAGATAATTTTAAATATTTTATGCTAAAAGATATTTTAATATTAATATAAATTTTTTAAAATAATTTAGTTAATTATTTAAATTTTTTAAAAATATTTTTATTAATATTTAAAAATCACAATAGAATCAAAATTTTGTATTAAAATATGATTTTAATTTTTTTAATAATATTTAAATTTTAATATAATTTATATTTCATATTTAAATCTACGTTATTTATTTTTTAATATATATAAGTAATTTATTTAATTTAATTTTTTAAATATAAATAGAATTAGCCAATAATTATTAAAAAAAATAATAATTCTTATAAAGATTGTCAAAAACATAGTGATTTATGCTAGAGTGTATCGTGGAACTTAAAGCCAATACAAGTGTGAAAGTTAAGTTTTATGCCTTAGAAAAAAACTTAGAAGGAGGTCTTAGGAGTTATTAACTTTCTATTCAAGTCCTACAGTATCTAAATACTTTAAAATCCTAAAAAGACTTATCTTTTTCAAATTAATCCTTTGACGAAGGAATTTATCTTTCTTGATTCTCTTATTGTAAATTAATCTACTTCATTTATTGACTTTAGAATATATAAACTACACTTTAGTATGATATATAGATAATTCATAATTTTTTATGTAAAATTAAAGAGTTTCATTTAAAATAGACAAATGTCATTTATATAAGAGATTTTTTTTATCTAGATTGACTTGATTAATCTTTGTAGAGAAGTCCATGCCAAGCATGCATAAACTTGTAGAAGTATGTATATGTCAAATAAAATGGTTGGAAGTTTGTTTAGGAGAACAAAATTGAGAAGAATTTCATAATATTCAAGACCTACTCCTAGGAGGTTAGAACCATCAGTAAGAGAGTGTCTCTTATCATTAAGTTGAGACCTTATATGATTATCAAAGTATTGACTTTGAATAATAGAAAGCATGGTCATGCTAAGTGCCACTTGCTTGCAATTGACATTTTGACTAAGAAGAAATTCAAGCATATTATTCCATCTTCTCATAATTGTGATCTTTTTCATATGTCTTGCATTAATTTTCAATTCATTGACATCTTTGAGAATAGGTTTTTATTTTTCTTTATTGTCAATGGTATCACTAAAGATAATTTATGCTTATCCATCGACAAGGCCTGCTTATGCATATAAGAGATAAATTTGTCAAAAACTAAGATCTTCTTATGTGTCACGGATATAATCATGTAAGCTAATAATTACATATACAAATAGGTAGAAGTAAGTAAAAGTAGGTAAAATTAAGTTAATTCTATAGTATTTAATATAGAAGCTTCTTAGAAGCTTCATAGACGCTGCTTTGACTTCATAGGTGTCTTTAATTGACTTTTTGGATTAGAAACGTGGTCAACAAGTTGGCCATGTGCCTTACATGTTGTTAGCTTGAAGATCAAGCTAACTATGTGGTCCACACGTAGAAGAACTTGTCTTGTAAGTCAAGGCATGTGTCCTACAAAGTCAACACATATTGGAGGTCCTATAGAACGTCGCCACGTAGCCCCTAGTTAGATAGTATATATAGAGGCAAGAGTGAAGGCTTCTTCACTCTTGTCAACTCCTTTCTTGTTTCTAATCTAGTTTCAAGGGTCTCTAGTTTTCTTGTCTTTTGGCAATAGCCATTCCAGTTTCTCTTTCAATATATATACTTATTTATATATATTTTGTTACCTCTCTTTGAGTGAAGGCTCACTTGTTTGAATTGTTTTTTCATCAAGTTCTTGTCCTTGACAGATTGACAAGAGTACACCTACAATATCAGAGCTTTGTC